ACAGAGAGTCCTTTTCCATGTCGCAGGGTGTGTAAGACAGGGAGTGCCTGAAACACACACACACACACACATACACACACACACACACACACACACACACACACACACACACACACACACACACACACACACACACACACACACACACACACACACGCACACACACACACCAGACAAAAACAAATGTGAAAGTACAGGCTTAGAGTTAGTACAATAAACACTGAGTGGAGTCACACGTGTGTTTACTCACTTATAAGAGCATGTTGGATCATATTATTGCCTTGTTGTTAACAGTGTGTCTGAGTGTGTATTTCACTCAACCATCACAACATAATAAATATTGTTGCGGTCATATTAATGATTTATTTGATATGGGGGAGTGTATGAATGTGACTACTGATTTAATTGTGTGTGTGAGCTATTCTTTTTTGTGGCTAAGTGACATTTCTTTACTTACAGCCATGTTTTATTTTTGTATTTAATGGAGCTGTATTGTATTTTTACAATGTTCTCGGGACTATATCTGTTGGTACACATTTTAGTGTAGTTTGGCCACCCAGTGATTGTTTCTAATACATATTTGTATCTTTCTAGTGACCAACCTCTACATCATAAACATCTCGGAGAAACAGTGTATGGCTATTTTCTTGTATTTTATCCAGGAAGCTTGACATTGAGATTATGTACTGTATAACACGTAGACTTTTTTAATTGGGTCATTGAGCCTACAAAATGTCTCTATTTAAATTCTTGTTTCATACAACAATGTTGTATTTCCAAATATTGGTTCTCAATGGTAATGAGACTTTTTTTTTAGTGACTTCACCAAAAAGTCAACAATGGTGATCTGACAAACTGCCAGATGACCAGACATTATTTAAAACAAACCCCTCAGGTTAGTGACCTAGACAAAGACAAGTAGTAAAATGTAATGCCCACACCTGTCTGTTGTAATCCACCTCAGTTTAAAGTCCAACTTCCCTGATTAACTCTGACGTGGTGTATTTACTGTAAACCACGTGTCTTTTTCAAGAAAAGGATCCCTTACCTGAAAGACGGACCCAGCCTACTAAAATGTTGGTTCATACAAAACTGGGCCTAAAATAACATGAAATGCACCATATACATTCATTGTCATGTATTAAAAAAACGTCTTATACTAAGCAATTTAAATAATGATACATAGCCAGGGAGTTCACTGTTGCGGATAGGTACTATAAGGGATTAATCTTAGATAAGCTAGCTATAATTATTGCAAGGATTCATGGGAAACAGTGACAGGATACACACTTTGATATCTGTGTTGTGTACATTCAATTGGTTGGACTTTTATTTGACAAAATAGTTAGATTTAAAAACTTTAATTTGGGGGGGCCCCTGCAGTAACTCCGAAGAGCCCCTAAGGGTCACGGACTAATGTTGAAAACTGTAGCAGTTGAGAGTTTTACGGTACAATAAAGGTTTATTACGGACATTTCAGCTGAACCAACTGTCACTTTGACTTTATAAAACTGTTTTACATCATGAAACGTTTGCTTCATAAAACAAGTCACAACCTGTCTGCTTGTTGCAGCGAGGTTGCCATGTTCCTAGACATTTATTTTTGTGAGAACAATGTCACCATAACTGATAAAAATGATGGTCATAAATAAAAAGAACAAGATAAGGTGAAATGTTCCTTTTGTTTTGCCAGATTTATACATATGAGCTGATTATTTTCAAATCTACCTTGCAGAAAGCTTGATTCATGTGATGAGCTGATGCAGGGAAACTGATTGTGATGAGGCAGAAATCTTTAGGAAACTACGTCTGTGGCACTGCAGCTCAGAAGCAGTAGGAGGAAGCTTTCACAACAGATGTTCAGGCCCTGCAAGCTAACAGGAATCTGCAGCGCGTTGTAGGTCTCCTGTGGCCTTGTGATATGCTTCTCTTTCATAACAGAGTGAACATTCATATGTGAGGCAGATTCCACGAAACTTGTCTGTGAAAGTTTCTTATCTTCCCTCTTTTTTTGTTTTTGTGTGTTTTTTCTTGTTGTATGTATTTTCCGTTTCAGGAGCTCATTTCTCTTCACAGAATCCCACAAACTGATAGCACACACAGCAGAAAAGCAGAAAAGGTGTTTGATATGTGCAAACACACGTTCCTGTGTGGTAAATATGGTCAGATTGTTTGTTCATTGGTGATGAGCGGCAGAGACGACTTCAGTCTTAAATTAGACAGTTTCAGTAAGCCTGCCTGCTCCTGGTTCCAGAGAAACTGACACACACAAACACAGTTCTTTGAAAATCCTCCCCCACACTTGTGTTTTCACACTTAATGACAAAAACATAAACCACATTTCCCCTGAAGCCAACACAAAGACAGGAATGGGTTGACCTTTTTTTTTTTAAACTGACTTTGGGAGACAGGAAATAGAGACACACTCGCCACCAGTAGCCAGACATGTTTTCTGTGGCTTGATCTCTCCTGATATGCTGAAACTGCTTGCCTTTGATGCTGGTCAAGTGATAATTAGGGGAACTACAGCATTTCTGGGTCACTGAAACAAGTTATGACGCAGTTAAACAGACAGACAAACATGCCCATTAACTCATGGATCGGTATGAAAACAGTTAAGTATGAAATGACGCAAGAATACAAAATAATCTTTTGTAATCTCTTGTAAATCAGGTTATGATTTATAATATGATTCCGAGATTCAAAACGTAACATGTTCAATTTCAACACTCGTCATATTGTCGAGTTAATTGCATATTGTTATGGTGATAACTTACTAATCCCCAGCCTGCTGAACGACTGTCTGAAAGCGAATGTGCCCGGGTCAGCAGGATGGCGTCTTTGACTGTGGCGAGGAGCCAGAGCGTTTAAGCCTGCAGCACCTCTCCATATTGTTCTGTCGGCCACACAACAAAACCAGGGCCTCCGCTGCAAAATACAGCCAAGAGCAGCACCGAGCAGCAGACAAACTGAGCAGGTCAGGGGGCCGTTGGTGTACCAGTCGGTCAGTCACACACACATTTCTTTGTTTGAATTCGGGTTGGTGTTTGGTGATATGTCTCAAAGAATGGCCAGCAACAAGGAGGCCGGACCTTTGGATATCACGACAGCTGCCCCAGAGGTGAGTTTTGGTCCATCCAGATTTCTAATAACTACTTTTTTGTGATGTTAGGCATCTTAATATATTGTGTTAACCATTCAAATGTGAATGCTACAGGACACTCAGGGTGATGGTATAAAGTCCAGACAGGACCAGGAGGAGAAACTGATCCTGACCGCCTGGCAAAGCATGGTGAGTACACAAGGAAAGACATTCCTTGTAACTGTATCTATTTCAATCTGACCTACATGAACATTTATAACATTTGATGGGGTGTAGTGATATGTGTGTTCAATGAAACGCACGTGCTAAAGAACAGTGAATCTAACAGTTGGAGCTGAATAAAAACCTGCAGTCCCTAAGTGATTGCCTGGTTGAAACAATATTTTTTATTTTATCTTTTTAACTTGATCTTTCGCATGCCTTTTTTTCCTTTGGTAAGTAGTCTTGGTAAATGCACTGTTGCCCTTTTATCTATGGGAAGGACTTATATAAGAAGTCTCACATTATACCTCAATGGCTTCCCACAAGTCAGACACTTGACGCTGCCTGACTTTCCGTAATGTAGCTGTTTGCAGCTTTTGATGTTTGTAGTGTGACCATAGCATTAAAAGGATTGAGTCATGGCCTTGATTTATGCATGCAATCGAGTCACATATAGAAAAATGCCAATATGGCTCCGAGGCATGTGTAAGCAATATTCTACACATTCATTGGTATAGTAGTAGATGTAGCAGTAGCACTCATCATTAATGAAAGCAGGTGTCAGTCCTGACTAGCTGACAGGTGTTTGGCCTCTTGCAGTCCTCAGCTCTGCAGCAGAGCAGTGTGTTTAAGGACTACAAAGCTCCAGGGCCGGCGCAGTCTTTCCTGGCCAAACAGAGACAGTCCACCCAGGCCAGGAGGGCGCTCTCCCTCCGGCTGCAGCCCAGGTAGGGGCATCCACCTGGGAGGAGAAACGGAGGCATGCAGCCCACAAATGGGCATGATGGAAAGCAAGATTGTGGAATGAGGGTGAATTTGTTTTATTAAAGGTCCCATGTCATGGCCATTTCTACTGATCATAATTCCATTGTTGAGGTCTACTAAAATAGATTTATATTGTGCAATTTTCCAAACTCACATTGGTTTATCATACAGCATCTCTGTATAGTATGTGTATTCAGCAGGTATTCACTCTCTGTCCTAAACGGCTTGTTGGAGCTCCTGCCCCCCCCTCCCTGTGAGCCCAGTGGCCGTCTGCGAGAGAGCGAGACACAGCGAAACCCAGCACGAAACCAGCCCGAGCACACACACACACCCGCAGCCTGGCTGGGAGTTTGTGTGTGTGCTCACACACATACTCACAGCCTCGCCGCGTTCCGTTGTCTCAGGCTGAGAAATCCGGGGAGCTGCAGCTGAGAAAAGATTGAGTGTGTGTGTGTGAGGAAGTCCATTTGGACCAATCCGCGGACGTAACGTAACGGTACATCACTATACCCAAATACGTCACTGTACCCAGGAAGAAAAAGAGAAATCTCCAACGAGACGTTCTGGGGCAGCATAGACAGGTCTTTTCTGTGTTAGAGTTTTACTCGCTACAGGGTGTACTTTGAGGGTTTGTGACTCTGCAGACCGTGTACATGCAGAAAAAGCTACATAACACACAAGGGGACGGGTAATAACCAGAAAAGCATGACATGGGACCTTTAAGTCACAGTCTGTGCTCTATTTGGTTTGCTGCTATCGCCCTCTGCTGGTCAATGTTGGAACTGGAGTGATATTTGGCACTCATTAGAATGCGTCATAATAAAGTATTGTTTTTGTCTGTTTTATACATAAATGTGTGTTAATAATCGCCACATTGTCTGCTCCATTCAGTGTTGTATACTTTTTTACATTTATTTTTGCAGGTAGGATACATTTTCATTTAGAAATTATGCAAAACCTTAATTATAACTTTTCATGTGGTCATTAATGTAAAAAAAGTCAGGTAATCTCATTCTCTTCATTCAATATTTGTTTAAATTAAGTAACAGACATGCATTATGAATCATTCTATTTACAGTCAAACAATCAAAAAAAAAAGTAAGCAAAGAAAACTAACCCATTTGTCTTCATTTCAGCAGCATTTTTTCAGTCCAAATTTTGGTTAATGCTAAATATTACAACAGACTTCAGTAGTTACAGGCAATAAATTGTTATACTACAATATTATGTGCAGATAACCAGAAGTATATTTTACACACACATAAGACTTGTATTTGAAGCCCATTTTTCTCCTATTTATCTTCTTTTTACACATGTAGCTTCGACCTGTTTAGCACAAATGTTCCTTGCAGCAACTCCAACACTCACATGTTGTTGTATTTTCTGTATCTGACAACAGATATAAGGAGCAACTAGGTAAATTAGCCTACTATAAGCTAGCTTTTTGAACAAACTAGCTTAATTATGAAGCTAGCTTGATATTAAGCTAGCTTGATATTGAGCTATCTTAATTATTAAGCTATCATGATTATTAGGCTAGTTTATTACATCTCTAAAGTCCTGTCTCGTAGTGAGGTTGTTGACTCTCGCAACTAAACCTTGGTGACAATTGAATGCATTGGTGTGTAACATGCTAGCTGCTTAGACACTGAGTAAAATTGTAAGGGATTGCTTCCTCCTTTTTTGATGGAGTCCAATCAGAAAACCCCTGTCTCTAGTTTCAGTTCTAAGCTAGACTACAATACAACTTGTCTAGCCTAATTTAACACAACACTTGTAATGTCTGTATTGAATGAACAGAAATTGAATTGTTTGTTTTCATACAGACTCAGTAAGACATGATTCCTCCTATGTCAAAGTTTTCCTATGAAGTTTGTTTTATTTTCTTTAATTTGAAAACAACTGATAACTCTGGTCCGAAAGTTTATAGATTCAAAGTAAACGTGTAAGCTCAGTTTTGTATATAATACACATTTTATCCATAAAAACGTGCAATGGATCGATCATTATGGTTTCAAACAGCCAAAAGTGAATGGGAACATCACCAGCCCATGTCCACCTAAGACCCAGTGAGCTCTGATCCCATGCTCACACTGCGAAAGCGCTGAGGTTCGTTGTGAGACGGCACAGTGAGGAAAGACTTTTTGTTTCCACCAAGAGGAGGTTTGGGGATAGTGGGCACAGCTCTGTTGTGGTTGATGGCCGGCTGGGAGCTGCAGTGCTCCAGACCGGAGTCGGCAGGCGGGTGAAACGTGAAGGCAGAGCGGTGACGGGAAGTGAAGGGAATGGCCGATGCTGATCGAGTGGACGTCTCTCTGGAGGACTGGGGGGGACGTAGAAGCCGTGATGAAGGAGCTTGAATCTCCCCAACTGTACTCTCTACTTCCTCTCTTTCCTCCCTTATGTACAACTCTTCATCGCTCTTCTCCTCGACTTCACTCATCTCCTTCTTCTCATTGAAGACAGAATGACGTTGCCTCTCGGTGTTCGCACCAAACTGAACCTCCAGCAGCGGTGTCCTCAGGCCCTTCTCGTCCCTGACACTGCACACGGTGCTCTGGGTGTCCTGCCCCAGACCTGACGGCAGCGACCCACCTTTACCTATTTGAACACTTTCGTCGTCGTCATCATCGCTGGTGCATTGGTCGATGCTGGGGGAGTGGCGTAGCCTCTGGAGTTGTGCTGAGGTGCGACGAAGAGCCCCTCCCATGAGTCCAGTGGGGGAAGGGGCGGCGTTGAGTAGGCGGTTGAAGAGGGCCATGTTGGGGTGATAACTGCCTGACTCCTCCATGTTCTCAGCGATGTCCTCCAGAGGCTGGAAGTGCATCTCCTCTTTAGGGATCCTGTCAAGAGATGTAGTGACATTTTACCTTACAATTGCATGGATATACCTTAACAGTTTATTTCTATGATTGGTTATTTTCACCTTCTCAGCCCGGATAACTTCCAACCACCTCTTGAATTGAGGCTGAATACTTTCACTTTCATCACCCACATTTTCCCAAACATTGGGGAGGATTACAATCAAAGGTATTACAGTCACAAGCCAGGCACACACACGAAAAAGGTAAAACCCAGAGACTTACGCCATGTCGAAAGTGGACCCTTGGAAGGAGGGTTTGCGGAGGACAAAGAGAGTGGCGGCAGTGTAGGGAGGTCTGGGGTTGGAGTCGTTCCAGTATCGATCTCTCTCCATCATCGGCAGATCTCCGTACATCTCGTCCACCGCCATCATGGACACCTGCAGAGAAAATGCAGACAGATAATGAACGCACAGTGTGTAACTTACTAACACTAGGGTTATCTCAAAACAGTAACAGAAGTTGGAGTTCGGTGGCGGTGTCTTCACCACCATTGGTGTCATTGCAATCAGCTTGTCCCGGTTAGGATTCCTTTATTGATCATTGTGCAGGAGGTTTTTATGGGCAGCCAAATTATCCTTTGAGATCTCTGCCTCTTCAATACCGGTAAATAACACTAAAAAACGCAGTTTCACGTTAAAAATCCAAATGCCCCAGCAAACATAGGATGGAACATAAGCTAACTGCTAACATCAGCTCAGCCTGTCTCTCTGATAACTTAACATTCAGACATCCAATGACTTCAATCCTTCACCCGGTTTTAAAATCTAAGAGTGCATTGTAAAGATAGGACTTGAAACTGGATAAATAGTCAACTATGATGCCAATCGACCCCAAAGCAAACACATGGGGACACAAGGCGTGGGCAGACATCTCCTTTAAAGGCGACCAAATTAAAACAAGATAAATAATTAAAAAGATATGGATTCCTCTTGAAAACTCTAGTGTATTGTATAAAATATATAACATAGGGCAAGTTATTCTTTGGAAATGTTATATAATGTATATAATATATATTTAAGTAAAGGCATGATTGTTAAGCAAGAGGTTGAGCAGTAGCAAAATATCAGCCAACACAGACCATGATTTCGACAACAGACATTGAGAGGGAAAATTATAACAGAATATATAGGTAAGGTGTAACAATAGAAAAAGAAAGAAAAGGCAGCAGTAACATCAAACAAACCTGGAAATTTCTGTCTATCAACCAGTTGGTCTCAAAGTCATCATCATCTTCTCCAAAAGGGTTGATCAGCTGCTCTGCGACCTACAGGACAAAACAGGACGTGTTACAAGCTAACTACATGGATTATTGATGTGATCCTGGTCTTGTGCACAGATAATAAAATATATGACATGTGACCCTCTCTCTGACCTTGAGCCATCCAGCGTAAAAGAAGAACTGCAGCAGGGTGAAGATGGGCACGTAGAGGTCGAGGTCATGACCCGGATAGCCTTGATTTGGGTCCAGGAACTGTCGACCAATCAGACACACCAGGAAAAAACTGTACACCGCTAAAGTCACCACCTGTGGGAGAGACGATAACATGGTATTAGTTTTTAAGTCCACAAAGCAGACACAAACAACAATATGTTATTAGATGTTTTGTAGCCTATTGAAAAAAGTCTGTAAAGAACAGCTTTGTAATAAAGCTCACTGTTTTCAAAGTAAATTATTTTATGGAGATCAGTTTCTGTATCTTACAAAAGTTAAAGCGGCGGAAAGTTTGTCTCAAAACTCTGTGTGTTTAAAAGCCAATCCACAAACTGAAAATTGAGATCCACAAACTAGATTAACATGTTTGATGCCTGATCAAAAGTTGTGATATCCACAAATGCTTTTTGTTTATTTGCGAATTCTTTATACGAGTATTCATATATTTAGTGCGAATGCTGTTTAGAAGAACTATTTGTTTACAGCATTCCACTATAGTTCTTTGAATCTTTAATCTTCTTCCTCTTCTTCTTCTTATTTCAACCAATATTTTGGCTCTCAATAACTTCAGCATACTTTCAGCTACAGAAACCATTCAAATATCAAACTATTCAGCCTTTTCAGCACATGATGGGAAACTTTCAACTTTTTCAAAATATGTTATACTTTTTGAAATATTCAGCTTTTTTAACTCTTTTTTTAACATGGAACTCAATGGGAGGAACCTTCAAATCCTCTTTTAACTACACCGTGCGCCAAATGCTTCTCCTTCCACATACTTTCAGCTAGAGACTTCATTCCAACTTTAAAATGATCACAAGACCTTCAGCTATTAAAATCTTATTCAGATTTTTGATATCTTTTACACTTTTTGAGATATTTAACTTAGTTTGGAGCTTGGTAAAGAGGCCTTCTTCAGATTTTAACATTAGTGTGTATTGCGCAGCTCGTTAAGTCTAGAGTGCTTTGATCTCAAAACAGAGTGGAGGAGTGCTTGAAATTCGCCCCAAAAAATGTTTTAAACCTGCCATAATTCCCAAACCCTACACTCCTTGGACATCATTTTTCATGAAAAACGTAGGAAAACCTCTCCTACGTTGAAAAATTAAAAAAAATAAAGCAAAAAACTGTAACTCCAATTGGCATAGTCCGATCGTCCCCCAATCTTCACTTGTATATCACCGGTCCATGCCTCAACAGCTCTACATCAAATCTGACATCTCAACATATGCCGTTTCCATGGAAACGCATCCCTCGCCAAAAAAACGATGTTGTCGTAACGCCTATGAAAAGGGTCAAAACAGCACCAGACTTCAGATAATGGTTAATGGTCCAGCCGACATGTCTATGTGCCAATAGTGAGTTTTCCTCAAAAGCTGTTGCCTCGCCATAAAACATGATATTGCTATAACTCCTATGAAAATTGTCAAAAAGTGCTCAAACTTCACATGTGTGCTAACAGTCCAGCCGTGAAGACATCTACGTGACAGTTTTGAGATTTCTTCAAATGCCGTTGCCATGGCAACACAATGCTCACCATGAAACACGGTTTTCTCATAACTTCAGTGAAAATGCTCCAAACGGCCCAAAACTTCACAGGTTTGGTAACGATGCAGCCATCAACACATCTAAGCGTATTATGGAGTTTCATCAAATGCCGTTGCCATGGTGACAGATCACTCGCCATCAAGTTCAAAAGTTTGCAGTTAAAATATTCTGCTGCTTTTCAAAGCCTTTTTACTTTCTTTTCTCTTCTTAATACATATTCATTCACTACTACTTACATTTAATATCTAACTCCTTCAGCCGACTTTCAGCTACAGAAACCATTCAACTATTACATTATTCAGTTATTTCAGGACATTGAGGCTATGCATTTTGTTGTTTATACCTTTTAAAACATTTTCTTTTGAATATTAAGCTTCTTCACTATTTTTCCTACTCTTCCAGTTTAACATTTCTCTTTCAAGTTTTCAACAAAGTCATTGCAATGCATTTGAGCTGTAACAATTTTGATTCAAATCATTTCACTTTTCTGCCTTTCTCCACTAAGTTCAGCAACACACTTACTTGGTTTTTGTAGCTAAAAGCAGCTACAGAGACCATTCAACTAATAACATATTCAGCTTTTTCAGCTAAATTCAGCCACAAATGTTCACAGTTTACAGCATTCGCACGCATTTTCTGCAGGAAATGCATTTTCTAGTTTCTTCTTAGTTTGCATATTAGCAGATCATTTTTCAGATTTTTTGTGAGTTCACAAATCTGTTTTTGCCTTGACTACACATTCACACACAGATTATTTATCTGTTCACACGAAAGATATTAAGACAAATCAGCCTCCATAAAGAAACCTTTCCAATGTAGTGCTCAAGCTCTCTCACTTTTTGTCCTGCCCAACACAGGTGCAGCTAATAACCTTAATTGGGCGTCGAGGTGTTGTGCATGCTGGCTCTTTACTGGGACAGTTAAACTGAGCGCTCGTCAAAGTCATTAGTTACACCTGGTCTTATCCGGCTAAGTCAAATGCCTGCTGGGATAAAGGTCTATACGAGTGAATTTCAGCTAATATATAGAGTTGATCTGTCAGACAGGATTTCTATTTATTTTCTTCATAAAGACAAAGTGAGTTAAATGGGCATTACAATTTCCTCTCATTAGTATATTAAAATAGTATCTGTTTAAAAAAAAAAAAAAAAAAGGGAATTATAAATAGGAAGTCAAAATTACAAGAACATTTAGATAAAAAAAGTTCACCATGGACCACTGCGCAACAAAACATCCAAGGGACTTCTTCACTGCAGACATGTTGACTTCTTCTGGCGCCTGAACTTCTCATTATGGAATAAAGGTAAGATGCTTGAATCATTAAACCTTTGAACTAATATGTGATGTACTTTTGTGGTGGTAGCTTTGCTTGAGCAATTGTCACTAAAAGCTGTAGTGTTTAGAACCAGTGAAATTGTCCAAATCATTTTTGAGTCGAGACATTTTAGCCATAAATCTTTCCTGTGGTTTAGTGACCCAGAACCGAAGTAAAGAAGTGATCATGTATCCTCAAATTCAAACCAGCAGCTTCACCCATTTTAAAGTCCAGCAAGTATCTCCATTGCCACATTTATTGTAATATTAACAATTTTACTTCAAAAATATGGTTAAACACAGCAACACACGTAAACTATCGGCCATGTCCACACAGGAAGATTATCGGATAGCATTGTTATTTTGACCGGCTTCAACCTTTTGGTAGAATTGTGCGGGTACTACTGTAGCCCTCCTGTTTTAAAAAAAGATATATATAATATATTATCTGATGACTGTCAACTTAGATAGTTTGACCCAGTAGAAGTAAAACGCTGCCCCTTATTCCTGTGCAGGCTAGTACCAGACATTACACATTAGCCCTCGGATAAAACAAATGTCAGTGTAAAAATCATGCACAAAGCCTCCCAAGCAACTCACCTGAGTGTAGACTAGGGGAACGCTGATCATGTCGTAGTGAAATAGCATGCTGCACTTCCCTCTGAACCCATTCAGCTCCTGTTCACACACAAACACAGAGACATGCTGAGGTCACTTTACAGCCTTTATTCAGCTCTTCTGTCTGTGTGGATCTCAAACTTGATCTCAGTCAAAACACAAGGACTGTATCTCCTCATCATCAGTGTGTGTGGGTGTGATTCTGCACCTCCAGCAGTAGTGTGAGTGTGTGATCGTCTTTGATCCGGCCCTCGCAGCGGGCCACTGCTGCCAGGTTGGTGAACCACACGCAGGGGATCCAGAATTTGTTGTAAGGAGAGTGGAGGCTCTCGAACTTCTTCCGTTCCTCTCTTGACATGAATCCTGAACAAAAGGAAGAGAAAAAACCCCAGATTGATTGTATCCTAATTAAATAATGTGGCTAACAGAGAGGGACGAGTGAGGAATTAATAGTCAGTATGAACATTTCTTGGAGTCTGATTTCCAAATATGTATTGATGTAGTGAGTAAATGTTAAAATGTATAGCGCTTTTACATTTACAAGACAGCATTCACACACATTCATACTGAAGCAGAGGCTACAAAGTGCCAGCTGCTCAGGGAGACTGACGTTCTCACGCACACGCACACGCACACACACACCATGACATGGGCCAATTAGGGTTAACTATTTTATCCAAGGGCACAGCAACATGTTAAATGCTGAGGATAGAAACCCCCACCTTTGTATTGGAGGACAACAAGCGAACTCCTGAGCCACTGAAGCTCCAACAACTAGAACAAAATATGTATCAGGAAAACACATTAAAGCTCTCCCAGCTAAAATATACTTTTAGTGTTCAAGTTGAACCACAGTTTATTTAGAAAACAGTGAGAAGACGATTGCTTCACCAGTGTTACTGACGTATGATAGATAAGCTTTTTTATCACCACTGAATTCCAAGATGTGCTTGTCCTTGTGATTTCTCCTGCCCACTGGTGTAGAAAATGTACAGTAGAGGAAACAACACACACTGATGACACACACTGATGCTACAGCGTGAGAAAAGATTATCGCACGTGTAAACTCTGTGCAGATACTAACTGATTATAGAGAAGTGTACTGGCTAAAATTGTGCATTGATCGCTACGCTGCTATGGACAGTCATTGCACTACTTTACATATTTGTACTATTGTAATATATTCATCCGTTTTGAAGTGACTGTTGTTTTGTATATCTTTTTGTGCCTTTTATTTATGCCTCTTAATGTGTGCATATGTATATATGTGTCTGTCTGATTATGTATGTGTATATGTATACAGTGTGTGTATGTATGTATGTGTATGTATGTATATATATATATGTATATGTATATATATATATATATATATATATATATATATATATATATATATATATATATATATATATATATATATATATATATATATATATATATATATTCGTACTCCTTTTGGATTGTAAGAAACAGCTTTTCGATCTCCCTGTCTGTATCACACAAACAGAAGATTGACAATAAAGTTGAGTTTGACTAATTATTAAGTTGTATCCATTTAAAATGTCTTTGGATAGTTGTATGATATGGACCCCAGCACCTCCACCCCCTGGTCCTGGCAGCTACTCACCAGCCTCCACCACATGGTCCATGGTGGGGAACCGTTTGAACACGGCGGTGCTGACGGAGCGGAGGATGAGCAGGGCCGACAGACTGGCATAGCGCATCATGGTGCGTCTCAGCAGGCGGCCCCGCTCGTCGCTGCCCTGGAGCCCCCCCGACAGGACGCACATGAGCCGGTCAGGGAGCGGGATGCTGGTATACTGGCTCCACCAGCGGTTCACCACCAGGGTCACATAGAAACCTGCACACAGCGATGGAGAAGAGACACAGGGGGTTATTCTGGATTATTCTAGAAATACTTTGTTAAGAGGACAGTTCTCCAGTGGCCTCAGGGGCCCCAAGCAATATATAAGAAATGTGTGCTTGACTGTTACATCATTTCTGCTATGGAGCCCAACCGATACATGATACTGTCAGTACTGTCTGATAATAGTCTTTCTCATTATATACTTTATACTACAGTAGGGCTGCAAATGAAGATACTTTCCACAATTTAGTAATCAGCCAATTATTTTCTAGACTAATTCAGTACTGATTCATTGTTGGTCTACAAAATGTCAATACTAGTCAACATGTAAATCCCTCTCAAAGTCCAAGGTGAGGTCTATCAATGTCTTATTTTGATTTTCACTTTGATATGATATAATATTCCCATTCAGATTATTGCCCATTATGTGGAAATGTGTCTTTCCTACCAGCAAATACAAAGACACTCAGTTTACACACAACATACAGTTCACACACAATACACAATAACATTTGTGTATCTACAGTAGTCTAAAAGTGACTCATTTGCAGTCATAGTTAAAGTGCTGAGTGCATTGTTATTCCACTGGCTTGTAGTCAAATACATTTTTTTTTCATGAAAAGTCACTTAATACTATTTGAATAGCTTAATACTAACGATTAATCTATGAGAAAAATAGTTCTGAATGGTTTTTCTGTCATTTTTTCTGACAAATTAATCAGTCGACCACTCAATAAAGCTCTACTGTATGTAAGCCTTAGGAAGTATTTTAGTATATATTAAAAAAGAAAAGCTTTATGTACAGAGCAGAAAATCCACTTTCAATTCTGTAAAAGTGGTGGTAGAAATGTTGCAAAGGATATTTTAATAGATTTTCTTTGCTCTCTATAGTTAAAGTTTTTCAACTATTCACAATCCTTTAAGCTCAAAATGAGTCAGATAATCAATATTCTAATTATTTGGCTGTATTTATACCTCCATTGCAACAACTCAACATATATTCTGAGGTCTACAGCTGAAAGTCCTTAACATAGAAACCAATAAAAAGTTGTTGCGTACATTTCTGACTACTCCCTCCTGTTTTATTTAGCAAAAATACTTCTGAGTCAAACATCAAAGACGCGGACATCACACAGAACAAAGGTCTGGGACATACAGATAAATACTGTCCCATCTATTGTTATCCCAAAGTGGATAAGAACATGACAAGTACTCACCCAGAACAAAGGACATGGGGATGAGGCTGGCGTAGTGGTTGCAATAAATTGCCAGCTTCTCAAAGTACCTCTTCTGATCATCATACAGGAAAAATCTAAAAGAGTAACAGTGATACAAAGTCATTTTAAATCAAAGCAGTGATGTTCCTTTAAGTTGTTCTCGCTCTGTCTCACCTGTATGTGATGCTGATGGCGGTGTACATGGCAAAGAAAGCCAGGAACTCTTTATACAACACCTTGTAGATGCTGCCCTTCCAGGCCAGCAGCAGCTTGGAGAAGCCACAGAAACGGGCATTTGCAACTCTGGCTGTGTACGTGACAGTCATTGGTGGCAGCAAATGTCAAGGTCTTCAATAAAAGAGCTGCATGGAAGAAAAAACTCCTGCTATGAGGCCAAGGACAGATCAAACCTAAACAACTCTCTTAGTCATTTCACAGATGAAGTGAATTCCAATAGAAGGATACAAAATGCACTTATTTCTATTTCGTCTTGGAATAATATCTCCTTACCTTGTGAAGTGTTATTCTTGATGAATGTGCAATTGCTCAGCGCATCTCTGTGCGTAATTGGCACCGGTGGAGAAGTGAATTCACATTTTCACTTAACGGTATAGTGTTCTCTGCGCTCGCCAGTGGAGTTTTTTTCCCCCGAAGAGCTCATAACCCTGATGTCCCCTGGCGTCAGCTCGGTTAACTCGCGGCTCGGTCGGCTGCATGGCAGTAATCCTCGGAGCCTCCTCGGTGCGTCCAGTGGTCAGTGCGCCCCGGGGTAAATCCCCAAAACCAGGAGGAGGAGGAGCTCGTTAGCGCGGCCCCCGACCGGGACGCGCGGCTCGGTGATGGACCGCAAGCGACAGGCCGCAGCGCCGGGGCCACGGAGCGGACAGCACCGGGGAGTTATGAAACAGCAGCCAGTGGACCGCATAACTGTCGTGTGAAGTGATATGAAAACAAGCAATTTCAATGGCTACAGGTTTATCATTATGGTTGAATAACCAGAAAAAGTGTATACATTTCTTACAGTAAACAAGTTGTGTAAAAAAAGAAAAGTCTTCCTGCCTTTAAACTTCTTTGTTTTCATGCTGGGAAAAATAATCCATGTGGGGTTTAATAATCCCATTTATTAGCAATCCAATTTCCCACCAGGACATGTTTTTCAAAAGGAAATCATTTATTATGACTCCTAATGACTTTGGGTGTTTTGAACAGAGCTGTGCCTGTGGTGCTCTTTGCCTTATGTGTGTGATATATTGGACTCTATTGTTTGTTTATTTGTGTTATTTGGATTTATTTTATGTAAAATGACTTTGAATCCCTCAGGCGCCATTCAAATATGTATAATTAATGTTTATAAGGGATATTTTGTATCCTTCACATAAAAGCAAATCTCTCCTGAATTGCTGTGTTAAAGGTTAACTGAGGCGTCATGCTGCCATTAAATAAGCACTGTGCAGGTCTAAATGAACGACAAAAGGCTCTCGTCTGATGCAAGTTAGTTTTAATTAACACTCGCAGTATAATTTAAAGAAAAAAATCTTTAGAAAACAGATTGACTCAAAAGCATTCAGTGACAGAAAGAGGGCCATTTCCTTTAGGAACTTGTTGGAAGTATCGGGCGAGCTAATCACAGTCCAGGAGCCAATCACAGGGCAGAGATGCTTTGATTCTTCTTAAACTACTCGCCATTCATCTGTTCCACAACTGATCAAGCAACATTCAATATATTTATATTAACAATGCACTAATAAGGCTACTAATGTAATAGTGTTCCCATAAAGTCTGTGGACACAACATGTTTGATGAGCATTGTATGGGGTGATGCTGTGACACTCTTTTTATCTTCCAGCCGAATAAACATCAAGAGTCTTTTCACATTTAGAATTTAAATCTCATAAGATCTGGTGCTGCTCCAACAACAGAGGCCTCAAATATGTAACATTAAGACTGTCCAGTTCAAACAATGACATAGCCATATATGGATACTGATCTCCAAACTTGACTTGACTCAAAATCTCATCGACATTAGGTTACTGCAAGGTCTAATGATTTGACACATGGTAAAATAAACACTTCGGATTGCTCTGCCTTTCTTTATTACAATAACATTTTTTTTTTAAGGAGATAGCATATTTTTTCATTATAGAGTGGTGCAGAAATTAGTCCTAAATCCCAGAAATTAGTTCGCATATTAGCATTACCGGTTCCCTCGTCTCTAAGTCAAGTGGGTTAGATGTCTACATCGGTTAGAGGTCTGTGGTTAATACCAGCCGAAGAAATGTTTACTTGTTAAATACGTCAGTAGAAACCCCACTCGTGGATGTTTAAATCTTCTATTTATCATGAAAAAATGACAGTGACTACATAAGACTACTAAATGTCATCACGCTGAACATTAGCCCCCCTTAGCTTAGCATTTGTGAGGGGAAATCATGTGAACTAAATGCAGTTCATTCATAGCCACATTAGCTTTTTACTTCTGCTGATTGCACTTACACTTCAAAAACCATAAAGCAGTGTTAATATGGGGTGATTATCCTGCTTAACAAAACGTGTTAAGTACCAAAAACTTGTGTTTGTCAAAGATCTCATTTCTAGAATATTCCGAAAAAGAAAATATAAAAATCCCTTTGCTTTTTGTCGAGGGACCACTTTTAATTCTTACTTCTGGGTTGTCCTAAAAAAAGACGTCATTACTGAACCACTCTACTGTCCTGCTACACATCCTGAATCTTTAGATATTTTGATGTAAATTCCAGAAGAATTTGCATGAAATTTGAGTCAAAAGTCAAACTGGGGAACACACACAGCCATCGAAACCACACAGAATAAACAAGGCATAAACATTGAGCGCCTGAAAGCTGTTTTATCCTGGAACAAAGGGCACCGTCACTGGGAACACTCGAGGTGATGGAGGAGGAGGGGAAGTTTTAGAGAGAAAGTTAAATGCTTTAAGTAAGAATGCCACAAGGCGGATATGAAGGAAGGAGAAGAGAGAGGTAAGGCAGCACAAATCTGGGCTGTCTTACCTCTCCAACAATATTTCAGGTTATGTACGTGTATGTTTGTGATTTTGTGAGCGCGAGTGTCCTGCTGTAGCAGTGATTTGCTTTTGGTTGACAGACTTTGAGGGGATCAATTGGTGGCTGTTGCTGCAGGGTTTGAGGCTGGATAGGTGTGGTCTGTAAAGGTGGGGTGGGGGGGGAGGGGAGGGGCAGAGAGGAGGTCCTGCAGAGAAGGAGATCACTTGTTCGGGGGTTTGTAGGGATCCAGAAGTTGCTGAGAGAACGTGTTGACCTTCTCGGCTCCTCTGACTTCGTGGGGCAGCAGCGGTAACTTGATTATGTGGAAATCTTCGTAAAGATCCTCCATCTGTAGGGGGGGGGGAACACCGTTAACAAACCTTTAAGCCGTAGAGTCACAACCCCCAAAATCATTCTGCTTACACGTACCTGGTCTAAATACTTGGACTGTATTTTATGGCGGGCTTCACACATTTTGCACGGCCTCTCTGCTTCGGGGAAAACAAGTTGGTTGACGATGATGTTGTGCGTGTCGATGCGGCACTTGGCCAGCTCCTGGATCAGCCGCTCCGTCTCGTACAGGGAGAGGAATTCAGCGATACACACACAGATGAAGGTGGTCTGTTCCTGATGGATGTGGGGAAGAAAAAAAGGGTGACGAAACATACACAGAATGCTTAAACTAACCCTAGTTCTATTTTTTTTTCAAAAGTAGGATGTTTGTATAACGCCTAAAGCAGACAACAAAAACAGACACCACTTCTGGTTCTCTTGTCTAACTGTTTTCGGTTAGATGCCTGGAATAGAGTGTTGCAGGAACGAGTCCTAAAACCCGGAAGTGAGTTAGCATTTTACTACCGGTTCCCTCGTCTCAGAGTCAATGGGATTTCTCCATAGGATTTTGGAAAATAGCTGGAAATAAGGTCTGTGGTTGACACAAATTGAAGAGACGGATCACTTTTTGTTCTACGACATTAAATACATCAGCAGTGACCCCACTGGTGATTTTTGAAGAGTTTACGTGTCTGAAAAATGATAGTTGTCAACAAGTGGCTGAATAGGAATACAGGAGTTGTCGAGGACGTTGTTCGTCATTACGCCGAACACGTAAACACTCCCGCTAAGTTTGTTTGTCCCTGTTCTGCTTGAAAGCAAGTACCTGCGCTCTTGCAAACTGTTAAAACAAACGCTTCAACTTGTACAATTTTAATCTGTATTTTTGAATATCGATCTTAAGTTGGCGTGACGTTGAAGTCGTGCGACCCTGCTGTAGTTAGTTTATAGCATAACGTTAGCCTTTTGCTTCTGTCGATTAGATTTATGATCCGAAAATTATAAAAGTAGGGTAGACATGTGGAGATTATCCGGCTGAACAAAATGTGCATTTATCAAACAGGTTCGTTTTCCACAGACCTTATTTTTTACAATAGTCCAAAATCCTATGGAGAAATCCCATTGCTTTTTTGTCGAGGGAACCCATGCGCAGCTTACTTCCGGGTTGGCCTACAAAAATACGTCATCCCTGCACCACTCTATAGGAACGCACCATTTCCACTTTATGTTTTATGACAGTGACTAAATGAGACTACTAAACGTCATCACACGCATTACTAGCCACCTTTAGCTTAGGTGTGGTGGTATCGTAGCGTTAGCTTTTCACTTCTGGCAATTCCATTTTAGTGAAAATTATAAAACTGGTTTTACTGGTGGTGATTATTCTGCTCAACAAAATGTGTAAGTACCATGTGTGTGCCAAAGATCTTATTTTATGAGTTTTTCAAAATCCAATAAATAAATTCCCATTTTTCATAGTGGTGTCTTGTAATCCCGTGTGAGATGGGACAAATGTTTGGCATGACATAGAAATAAAAAATAAATGAAAGTAACATATAGGGATGTGCTTATGTTAAAACGGCAAGACACTTACAGGGTCTTTGAACTGCTCACTGACTGAGCGGATGACAGGCAGGGTCTCCTCCAGCTTAGAGGCCAGCTGATCAGCGTTCATGTCACCCAGACCGAGCATGGTACACATCTACAACACAGAGAGAGAAACAGAGAAGATGTATATCAATGGGATTGAATCATAGCTCATATTTCATGTATATAACAAATAAACCATTGTGCATTACTTTAAATAGTTGCTCTAAGGTCCGGAAGGCAAAAACGTCACCATTTCAATACTGCCGTAAATGCAAATGAAAAGCGTTCTTAAATGTTACTTGGTAAAAATTCAGTACTGTTCCCAACCTGATTATGTATATTTTGGAGACAGGTGGTGGTGGGATTAGCACAACGGAGAGGGCAAATCTTTGTTTACCAGGGGAAAGACACAAGGTGGCCACAAAAAGGCACAATAGTCAAAACTGTTGTCATTGTACCGTATGATATTGGATAATTGGGATTAACTGCACATAAACAGCGTTCATGCTTGAACTTTGGATATTTTTCCCTGCATAAGATTCGCTAGCTGGTGCCTCAGAGGCAGTTGTATTTTTGAGAGAATTTTCAGTTTCATTTCTTTATAATTTTGCCGCTACGGCATTTAAACTTAAAAAAAGAATCTACAAATAACCACAATCAATGACCGACTGGATGTGCGTGTCCCTCCTCACCTGGGAGATGAAGGGGCTGATCTGGTTCTTTATCTGCATGAGGCGGCCCAGACCACGCTCCACAATGGTGGGGAAGTTGAGCAGCCGCAGTGTGTGACCGGTGGGTGCCGTGTCGAACACAACTACTGAGAAGTTCATTCCTTTCACTAACCTGGGAGACAGGAAGACAGTACGTGAGTTAGTTAAACATTTTCGACCAGTTTTTTTATTAGCTCACTGTGAAAAGTTATTCCAGAAAACTACTAACAAAGAGAGAACAGGCTTTCCAGTGAGCATGTGACTTACCTCATGACCTCAGCATAGCTCATGGCCTCGTCGATGCCGGGGAAGGCGCTCATGGCCTCCTGCATCATCTTCTTACCCATGCTGAGCATGTTGTCCTCCTCAAAGAACTCGTCTGGCAGCTCTGCAACTCCCAGGCTCGGGTCAATCTCCTACACTCACACAAAACAAATGACAAAAATAAATCAGCATATTACACACCGAGTGGCTGGGAAACTGCAAATTATTTCAGGGCCTCAGGGCAATTCTGTTTTTTTTACACAATGAGGGTTTGTTTCCCAGATGTGGAATAAGCCTTGTGACACTATAAAAATAGTTAAGTCATGCTCTTGTTTTTATTTTACATAAACAGCCTAAATTGAGTTTTGATCCTTTACACTTGTCAAACTTTTTTTGAGAGAGTTTTGAGATTATGCACAAAAAAAAAAGAAGAACTATACATTTTCACATGTCATGGCAATTAAACCACAGGTGTAAATAATACAATTAATGATGGCTAAATTGAATTTAGCTGCTTTAGACACTGGTGTTGTGTTTTCATGCCCTTGTTAATGTTATTAGTAACATTTGTGCCATTTGAGTGACTCCAATATGATGTTTTTAGCTTTAAAATGTATTATGCTGGCATCCTATTTTATTATTCAAACGTATTATGTTAGAGTTTTCTCACATTAACTAGCATCCGACAGGTGAATGTTCACAAACATGCATGTTGTTAAGCTTACAGACACAATTAAAATGTAACAACTACTAATTAATGTAATTAGTTACACCTGTGCTTTTTCGTCTTTGACAAATTAAACTGCCTCGTGCTTTTGGAACAGGTGAAACCAATTTAAGCTTGTCTGTAGCGTGTTCCTGTGCCTCTGGTATTAATGCAGTGCCACTTACCATTGCAAAGAGGTTTTCATAACCAATGACCTTAGTGGGCACCTTTGAAAACTTCTGGTCAAAAGCATCAGAGATGTTATGAGCAGGATCGGTGGAGATGATGAGGACACTTTCCCTGACAGCAGCGAGCTGGACCGCCAAGCTGCAGCTGAAAAACGACACAGGAGAGAGGTAAGTATGCTGTTTGTTCCCATATCTGAAAAGATGCAGTGAGCATGCTAAACCACACATTGTCTAGATTTAAGACGCATTCCTTACATGCACATGTAACAACAACATATTGATATTTTTGTATTCGAGGCCATAACCGAACACTTGCGTCTTGTATTTCTGTTTTTTTTTTTTTAATGCTACACCATTTTTAAAGCCTCACCCAATGACTCCAATGTTAAAAATATGCGTAATGGTGGAGCTGTCCTGACGGCTAACGCCAGATAGCCAGTGTAAGAATTACCTTCCATTAGCTAAGTTGCACGCTAACCAAGGTAAACTGTTGAAAAAACACCAGGCAGAAGATATCAAACAGGCTGTAGGTGTCATCTTACGAATCCAAAGTCAAACGATTTAAAGAAGTGATGAGTAAATGTGTCAGTTGGCTAATGTTAGCTGGTGACAGTGCTAGACAGCGTTCCACTAACGTCACCCGGCTAATTGACAACTAGCTTGGCCTAACCGTCTTAATATGTTACGGCAATGACATTGTATGCTATTACATCTATATCCGGTATCGTATCTCTTATTAAAGTGGTGTTGTTATAAAAAGCTTCTTAATCATTCACTAAGAGTTAGCCACGTCAAATTATGGTTGCGGCTAATCTCAGCTAGCTAGCTAGCTAGCTATGTTAGCATACGACGTAGCGTGAGTTAATATCAGCAGGCGGAATTAGCATTTTCCTTCAACTGACCTGCATGTCGTTTTACCCACACCACCCTTTCCACCCACAAATATCCATTTTAAAGACTTCTGCTCGATGATGTTCTTCAGTGTCGGCTCCAACGGCTCGACATCAGGCGCATCTTCAAACTCGTCCTCCAATGAAGCTGCCATCTTGTCTGTGTACACTGTAGCGAACAGCGACATCGAGGGGGGATGTACCACACTGCTGCCTTCAGGGCTCCTCGGACAAACGCCGTGTAACAAAAGGTCTACAATGGAGAGCTAGTAGGTTTAGGTTACAATTAGTAACATACTAGCAACATTGAGACTGTGGAACATATTTTCTTCCAGTGTGGACCTGTTCAACAAATGTGGCTTCCATAAGGGTTGGCATCAATTCACCCTATTAATTTAATATCAATAAAAGCTGGAGTATTTTTTTAAAGAAATACAAATGTGGAATTTCTGTTAAATGATTTGATCTGGTTAAGCCCCACTTCACTGGATGGAAGAACGAACTAACATGTGTTGCTCTCTCTCTCTATCAAATTAGTAGGACTGTACTGTTTTTTTTGGTTTTTTTTTGTTCAAAGCTTCTGTTTTCCAAATGATGTCTCTCATATTTGATAATGTCAGAACCCTAATAATACAAAATGTCATCCAAGTGATTCATCAGAATAAATGAATTGGTCTTTTTATTTTTTATTTATTAAAATCACTTGGAGTAGTGAATCTTTAAAACATTTTGTCTTAACTTTTCTGTTCTAGAATATCTGGAAATGTTTGGATGACGCAAGTGGGAAACTATGGGACACAACTACAACTGGAATGTAATTCTATTAGTTTAATACTATTAATCTAATCTTTATCCACAACTACTGTGCAGAAATCTGGGTTTTAAAAAATATATATTGTTGTGATGTATATGAATATTTTTAAATGATGCTGTAAAACCCTACACAACAGAAATGTGTTACAGCTTTTCATATCCTAAATAGCCTGGTGTTAATTGTGTTTTTTTCTTCTCGTCTAGGTGACGCTGGACCTTCACAGCAGTCAACAGAAGTTTGGAAGATTTCTGCGTTCAGATGTTCTCTCTCAGCTGAGGGATGTCTAAAATACATGATCTGTTTGGTATTTTGAGCAAAACACATCACAGATGTTTTTTTTATATATCTGACACCATAATATGCCTAAAAATAGGCATGATAGGAGATATTTAATGACATCAGCAAGGTAAAGATATTTAAGCTCTGTTGCAAATCAGACGTTGTTAAAGTGTTCATTAGAAGAAGCAAGAAGGATGTGCATTTGTTTTATCCCTATAAGCCAATGTTTCAACACTGTTGTTGTTAACACTCCATCCATAGAATAAAAGTGTGTGTTTGTTCTTTGTCAGTGTGTGGAGGAAATCTTGAGCTACCTCAAGGTGTGTGTGTGTGTGTGTGTGTGTGTGTGTGTTGTGTGTGTGTGTGTGTGTGTGTGTGTGTGTGTTGTGTGTGTGTGTTGTGTGTGTGTGTGTGTGTGTGTGTGTGTGTGTGTGTGTGTGTGTGTGTGTGTGTGTGTGTGTGTGTGTGTGTGTGTGTGTGTGTGTGTGTGTGTGTGTGTGTGTGTGTGTGTGTGTGTGTGTGTGATTGTGTGTGTGTGTGTGTGTGTGTGTGTGTGTGTGTGTGTGTGTGTGTGTGTGTGTGTGTGTGTGTGTGTGTGTGTGTGTGTGTGTGTGTGTGTGTGTGTGTGTGTGTGTGTGTGTGTGTGTGTGTGTGTGTGTGTGTGTGTGTGTGTGTGTGTGTGTGTGTGTGTTCTGCCTTTCTGCTCCAACGACAGTCGACTCATCACACACACACGCAGTGCGCTGCGACTCCACACAGAGTGAAGTGGTACTTTATGACAGGGCCCGTAAAGGAGCTGGTTTCCCTGAGCGATGGTTCCATACATCTTTTATACACAGACACTCACAACCAGCTGGATGTCATGTTGCCTGCACCTTTATTGACACAAAACTGTTAGAAATACAAGATAAAGGATGATGTAATTGTGAATACATTTGCAAAACAACGAACAGGGTAGTACAATTTCCCAAAAGTGCTGTCTAAACCTAAGGGAAATAAATAAACAAGCAAACAAGACATTTACTAAAACTGACTAGATACTTCAAGTTTTAGCCACTAACATATAAGATATGTTATGCTTCTTTAGAGGAATGCAAGTTATGCCTTTATCTCTTTTTAGAAGTTTTTATGCACACCCTTCATTATATTCTGTCTAAACACACTCTTCTTCCCTCCTTGTACGTCTCTGTCTCCGCCCAGGTGGTGGCGTGGCGTCTGCTCCAGAACCAGCTGCCCCTCAGTGTGGACCTGCAGTGGGCTCTGTCCTGCCTGTGCCTGGCCCTGCAGCAGCTCTGCGTCTGGAACAAACTCTCAACCGCGGAGTACGCCACGCACACCTGCTTCCTCATCTACTCTCTACGCCTCATCATCGTTGCAGGTGAGGGGGGTTTCAAGACAATGTTCAAGCATTCCCTTGTAGCGGACTGACATTAAGTTCATGGGGTGCCAGTCAGGTCGGGGACTGATCATTTTAATAGTCAGCGTCTGGTCAAACTATACAAAGGATACATGTGTAACAATACTCAGTACATATGACATGAACCCTTTAAAAAATGCTATATTTCACACAAAAACCTAGTTAATTTCCAGACTCATAAAGAAATCATAAACCACTTCTCTTTAAATTCAACACAACATTTATATGATATGATAATCAGTTAATCCCTAGTGTGTGAATGTTTAAATGAATTCAGGTTTCCCAACAGCAACAGTAAAGAGTCTAATCACGAACCAAAAACAATGATTCACATTTCTTTCAGTTCAACCCAAATCATCTTCATTCAGACATGTGTGTGTTTCTAAAATAGAGAAACAAACATCAGCATTAAGTAACATTAAATCTACAACTCTCTATAATTAAAAGTACAATTACTTATACACACACAAAAGGTTACCACACAATTATAAACTTACTTTTAAACAGATAAAAAGCTGGTAAACCTATAATTGAACTGTACAAATTACTAATAGAAAACTACTATTTAAAAACACATTACTTGTTGTCAAGGATGCACACAAAATGAAACTTAAATGAGAGGCTGAACTGCCACCTGAGGGGGAACTACGAAGCCAGATTAGTGGTTATAGCGAGGTATGTGGAGCGTAAAGGCAGAGTTTTCGGTTAAGGTGGCTAATACAAATCGGATTATGAAATCGATTAGTCTATTGGTATGTATCACAGACTCAATTAAATCAATACATTTAATTTCACTTTGATTTAATTTGGACAAAAATGAATTGTTTTTCCCCGTATCCTAACCTAACGGGGAAAGTGTCCGACCTAAATGCAATTTAAAAAAAAAGAAAAATCGAATAACCAAGTCAGGAAACGTATTTTGTGATTTAAGCTATCGTCTAGCAGTGGAATGCAATGCCGTGCTTCCCAAGTATGTAGCAAGTAAAGGGAGAATAACAGGGGGCCTAACACTGAGCCCTGTGGGAACCCATACTGGAGTGGAGAAGAGTATATTGTGCTCCTCCAGTAGGCAACAATAGTTGCCTGTTACGTATAATTATTTTGATGTTCTACTAATTAAATCTTCTATATTTATTTCATCCGGTCAGAAAATGGTAAAACCATAACCTTAACCCTCATTTATCCTTTTACGATACAATCTCACCTTTATTTTTTAAATAGATTTGTGTTTAAATGTTTTAGTAGCGCTGAGAGCTTTTGACCATATCACTTGGTCCTCATCAACAGATTGATTTTGCTTAGTTCTCATTGGACCACACTTGTTCAAACCTCGAGGACTTTGATCCTCAATTATAAATCATGATTTTGTTTGTTCACTTTATGTTTTGATGTTCAAACAATACAAAGAACAATGGTGTTACGTCCTCTTTTTCCCCTGTAAAAAAACATAAGCCTCAAACTAACTAAAATAATGGCACTAATATAAGAATCACATTTCTTAGGACGAAACAGCTATACAATACCTATAACAATATATATGTATACTTATAAATAACAATAAATAGGACCAGTAGTATATATCTTCTATAAGTTCACCACACATCGCAAAAGCTTTTTTTAAAGTTGAAGTCAATATATTTACTGCCAAATAAACCAAAAACATTTTAAAACAATAGAATAAATGAAGACCAGGCAATTGGCTGGTTCAGTTGCTGTCACAGCGGACACGGGAGAAGAGAGCGTTTCTGATGCTCTTCAGGAATCTCCTGACTCTGCCCTTTCTTTCGCCGCTGGTCACTTTGATGACCTCAGAACAACCACAAAGAAGCAGGATGTTAGTGCGATCAAAAAACTACAAACACATGAGACTGTGAGGGCTTTAGACATGTGACTTACCAGGCTCCATGTGAGCAGCTTCATCCTCTGGCTGAGCAGAGACTGTGTGCTCGGCAGGAGTCATGGCCTTGAACACAACACTTTGGACGTTCTGTAAAAGCTGCAGAGTGACACTTAGTTCAGAGTCTCTGCTATCAAAGATTACGTTTTCAATGCTTTGGAAGCTCTCAGTCAGTGAAGGCTGTGGTGTGAGACTCTGCTCAGCCTCTCATGTCAACAATCACGATTTCAATGCTTTGGCTGACTTCAGGGTCCTGCTCCACAGCGAAGAACGGATGCTCCAGGACTGTGAGGGGAATAATCCGTCCGCACTTGTCCGGAAACAGCATCTTTTTCAAGAGGTCCACAAAGTTCAGCAACTTCTCTCTCTTGGCCATGTGTCTGTAAGGTATCACCTGGGAATACATTTAAGGTAAAACATGTCTAAGTAATCCTTTTGAAACACGGCAATGCAGTCAATAAATACATTGTAGAAATACTTGTAATGACATTATTATCTAAAAAAAGACAACCTACCTCCACCAGGTCATCAAGAGACCTAAGGTGGAAACATTGGTTTCCTCTGAAGTGATGCCCGGTCTGTACTGCAAACTCCCATGGAGTCTACAGACAGACAATTTTTTGGTTACTTGTTTATCCTGAGAGACAGACAGACAGACAGACAGACAGACAGCTACCTTAAGTCTCCATGTTTGCTGGTTGTAGCTCCCCTTAATGTTAAAGTAGAAGCTGCTTTTTTGTCCACAGTTCAATAGAACATCTGGAGGCTGACCCACCAAGTCCACAATGAGTTTAAGCGCGTCATATTCGTGGTCCATGGGGAACAGTCCAAAGCCTGCTGCTATTTCCGCAGCCACAGCACCGAGAGACCACATGTCAATCTGTTCACTGAAGTCCATGCCCAGGAGGACCTCTGGTGCCCTGAGAGGAGAGGAAAACTTCTTGTTAAGCTCACTTTTGTTTATTTTCCTGTTCAGAAACAGACTTCTAATGTTTGCATCAAAGCCGCAGCCTCTGTGCCACATGTTTTATTATTCCTACCTGTACCACAGACTCTGAACAGCGGTCCCTGGAACGGCCTCGGACACGTGGCGAGCCAGGCCGAAGTCAATGAGTTTGACCTGAAGCGGATGCTGCCAGCGGTTCACCACCATAATATTCTCAGGCTTTATATCAGCGTGGATTATTTCCAGGGCCTCAAGGTGGAGCAGTGCTGTTGTCAGCTGAAGAAACACAAAGATTGAGATGCTTTAGGATCACAACAATGTACATTTTTAGGTATGATTTCCCATTAAATCTCAAGTAATTAAATGATGCTCCTAAAGAAAGGAATGATTCCACATACTTGACGTAAAACTGGACGGATCTCAGCTATGGGCAGAGCGTTGTGTTTTCTCTGCAGCATGTACTCATAGAGACTCAGGTCCAGGAGCTCAAACTCCAAACAAATTAACTTTTCATGGTAGAACGAGCCATACCATTTCACCAGACTGCATTTATCTGCATCGAGAGTCTGCAGCTTCTGGAGAATTTTAATCTGTGGAAGACATACAGTACAAAATGTGATTATTGCCATTTGTTCTCACCTTCAATACGAGGTTGTAGGTTTCTCATTTCAAAATAACTCAACACGTAACTTTAGATGTTATAATAAGAGTTTGTAATCTACCTCTTCCAGTGCTCGCTCAAAGAGAAGGGGTCCATCCTTGGATATTTTAACGGCCTTATTTGTGTTGGTTACATTGTCCATACACATGGCCACCTTACCAAAGCTGCCCTCCCCGAGAAAGGCCTGCACCTCGTAGCCGGAGGACAGCAGGGTCCCCTCGTGGATCGGGAAATCGTCTGTGGAGGAGAGGATATGGACACAAAATTAAGTTACATTTCACAGTCCACAGAACAGCACATCGCATTCAGTCAGTGCTGTCACTGATTTCTAATGCAAGATAAAATGTCCTATTTGTTCTTTCTTTTGTGCCTGCACATATAAAGGTGTTCGAGAAACAACGCCCTCAACATAGGTTTTGTCAATTCCAGATGTACAGTACATGTTTCTGGAGAAATGGAAAAAACTATCTTCATGTAATGGCTGAGAAATAAATAGGCAAAATACAAATACTGAAAAACATTGCTTATGAGAAATGTTAGGATATTTCTGTAGTGGTTGAGGAATGAATTAGTCAAAGTATTAAACATTACTTAATTACATTATTAAACTTGTTTGAGCACACTGTTCCTACCATAAATGTAAATCCTTTAATAGGCTGAGATGTTAAAAAGTGAAAAGAGAAGCTTTTTTACACACACTGATCCACATGTGAATACAAATCACAGATCCATTTAGATTTCTTGCATTTTTTTCGTCATTTTGTCAATAAAACTGCTAGTTGAGTGCATGCATGAACATCAACCTACAAACGGCAGCAGAAACCAGTCGGCTGCAGGCTGTTTATAAGAGCCACTCACTTGGTCACTACTGCCATCTAGTGGTGATACAGAATATGCATGACCATATGATATATAAAATTCTCATCTTATTTATTTAGAAAAGTTGGCTTTAATGAACTTCAATTTTTAGGAAGCTATATTTTAAGCACATGGCAGGTTATAAATGGTTTAACCTGCATCTTTTGAAAAATGTGGTTAAAATCCAGAAGTACTGTAGCATTACTACAATGTAAAAATACTCAGTTGCAAGTGAAAGTCCTACATTTAAAATTGTACTTTAGAAAAAGTATAAGCATTAAAAAATACTTTAAGTACCAAAGGTCCTCATTATGCAAAATGCCTATTTTAAGCACCAGATATTGTTTTATTATTTATTCAAATGATTGATCAATTCATGTGTTCATCACTTCAGTGTTGCTCTTGGTAAAGGTGGGGTTTATTTGAGTTACTTTTTACACTTATTATGGGTAGCTTAAACTAGAATATTATATTATGTGTGTTGATTTATATTTGTTATTAATAACCTAAATCTGCAACGTTTCTAACTAAATATATAAAATAAATGTAGTGGAGTCAAAGGTACAATGTTGGCTAACAAACTAGTTGAGTAAAAGTACAAAGAGCACAATGTGAAAATACTCAAGTAAAGTACAACGACCTCAATTTTGTATTAAGTAAAGTATTTGAAAGTAATAAATTATGTTGTCGACAAGGGCTGTCAGATTTAAATACTTTAAATGTATGGTTAAAGATTTCACAGCCCTATTGTCTCCCACACATATTCTTCATATCCTTAAACGTGCTGCTTGTTAGTGAATCTGATATGTCTACAGAACCCCATCAATCCTATAACTCAATCGAGTGGTGCAGGAATGAGTCTTAAATCCAGGAATTAGTTTTTTCATTTGAGCCTTCTAAGGCAATGTTTTTTTGAAAACTTATTTTTACTTTTTCTTTAAAAACATAGCAACTTTGAAATACATTCAGTATCAAAAACATAATTCAGGAGTGTTTATGTTGTCCATTTATTTATTTTTATTTGCTTTAATACATGAAATTAAGTGCTGGAAAAAGAAACATTGACAGAAAAACAACTCAACAACTGATCAGGAGGAAGACATTTCTTAATAAATTCTGCTTAAATCCACTAAAACGCAATCAATGTCTTATTGAATGCTTTGGGAAAATGACTTACAACTCAATGACATTTAAAAATAAACGCATGCATATAGAAGCCCAGTTGGAATGACAATTACAAATCATTGGCCCTGAAGAGATAAACAATTTCATTTACATGAACATGTACATGCTGTGACCACAGGATAGGGCATTTGCCTCCATAAACACTTTTTCCTGGCCTCGCCTGTCCTCATCTCAGTGCCGCCGTCAGACCCGTCTGCTTCAAGCCTTCTCCACCCATCGTCTCCCTTTTTGTTTTCCAAGCAGTGCCAAGCCAGAATCTTAATGAGAGCGGTTTCAGCTCGCACACACTCCATCCCAGCCGGAAAGGAGCAACTTGGCTCTCCACCTGATTTCTGGCAGTCCGTCTGCCTCACCCAGCGTGGCCAGAAGGCCGGACCCAGATCCACCCATTGGTAAGTTAATCCACAAGTGGCAGAGCGCACCAACCAGTCTCTAACTGAGCTGACAACATGTTTTGGGAGAGAACCAAGGTCCAGATCTGCGGCATACTTCACCAGCTTCTGCCGACTGTTTGCTGCAGCCTCGCTCAGCTCTGGAGAAGCACTCGGGTTCAACTTCTTCCTGGTAGTAGTGGGGAATTCCCCAGGAAGTGAGAAATTGCCCAAAAGCTGACTCCTAGATGCTTCAGACGGCTGCTCTATGGACATCCAAATCAGGTCAAAGGAGGATCCCAGAAGACGCAGGAGGCGAGAAGGCCGGAGCTGTCTGGGTCTGGGCATCTGGTGGTAGTCTTCAGCGTTTGTCAGCAGGGTGTACGGGCGGATCGGCTGCGAGTAGGACTGCAGACGTTCTCTCAGATGAAGAAATGGTGAATCCCAAATTGTGTCCTCCTTGATTTTAACAATAGTCAAATTCTGGTTTTGTGTTGAAACGTGAGAAGCTCCATGTAGAAGGACAGAAATCCAGCAGAAACAGACTCCACAGTCGAACAGCTCAGGCATGGTTATTACGGTTCGGATGGGACAACAAACTGATGAGAAATTGCTCCTAGTTCTCCTTACTACCCGTTTAGTTATGGGTGCTTCAGGGACTCTGTGTACCTTACACCAGAAATCCTTGAGCTTGTGAACAATAACATGGTGAAATCAGTGTATTATACCCAACCACCACAAGCGGCAGACATAATATTGAGTATGGCCAAAGCACAGCTAAGCTCCTGCTTCTTCTTGTTCACGGTTCTGATGTTTTGGCTTGTTTCGAAGCAAACATACAGGACAAATCCGAGAAGCTATAGATTAGTCAAACGCTTTACCAGAATTGATTACCAGATGTCACAGATATTTCTATGAGACAAAAAACTAGGTCCACATATTTCACAGCTAGCATCAAACAAGAAAGAAGAGTAATCATTTGACCTTGATTTGGCAGAGCAAGACAAACAACAGCTCTCTCACGCAAAGACTGCACTTGATGAGTTATACAGACAAGCTTCAGGGTAAATTCCCTTCATGGACGCTTAGATAATGACATAGCACTCAGGATTTTTAAAGAAAGAGGACAGATGCTAAAGGTTAGTAGGACAATAACCCCATTTATTCTCATCTACGGAAAATCAGCTGTCAAAGGCACGTCATGGCGTAATATCAAATACATTCAACATATACTGTAAACACTTCTAATTTAAGTTTTCTTTACATCAACATAATAATACACCTTATAAATACAGTTACATATAGTTACATTAAGACACAAACAGCAGGCATGAACTAAGAAATATTGCATTTTTAGTTGATTAGGCGTCAGGTCTGAAATATGTTTGTGTGTGTGCGCTCTTTTAAGAAAGCCTGACTTAACACAGCATGTGTGTGATTATATTTCAATGAAATGTTGCGTTTAGGTTGACCTTCACATCCACCCGCCTCTTTTTTTGTCCTCGCACTCAAAGTGAGAAAAGCTGGTCTGATCTTTCCTGTTGCCGGGCAGATTGTGGAGGAGGTCTCGATGTGGAGGCGGGTACGCTGCGAATCATCGGGGCGCTGTGGTCTGATTCCTTGGCTCGATCTTCCAGGAACTTATCAAACTCTGGTAAGGACAGTTAAGTTAGGGGTAAGTTTGTGCGCGTTCAAGTAAGCAAGAATTATTATACATCATTTTTACACTAAAATTCAAAACATACCTTCACTGGACACCCCCTCGCTAACTGAAGAGTGTTCTTCCTGCATTACAAACACAATAAAACATTAAGAGTAAAGATCATATATACCACATCACATTGACCCTCAATTACCATTATTCTCCTATATGTGTTCTTTAGTAAAGTCGAGAACAGATACAAAATTTGATTTGGCTAAATTATATTTGTACCAGTGTTGCTCTAATTTCTGGTACATTAAAGCGTGTGCCTAAGTTGAGAGAATTTGGACAATAATTCCCAAATGAAAGCCTGAAGAAAGTTGAACAACGGAATCCAAATGTTAAAATAGTGAAAATAATTTGGTGAATAACTTCAAAAATGTTTCACAATTATATTATAATTTTTTTATCTTTTGTTACACAACAGTAGAAGTGAATACATATATCTTAGTCCTGTTTGTGAACCAACCACTCTCTTGCAAATGGCTTTAATCTAACTCTAAATGTGTTTTTTTTTAAATATATATTTGTCTTGTTTTATTTATACTGTATGTAAAAACATGGGTTTGTATTTTTAAAAAGTACATGTATTGACAAACTAGGTCAATTCCTAAAAAGTTTTTTTAAAAGTACTAACGAGACAAAGAAAGAATCCCGAATACAGCAGAAATATCTTCTGAAGAACTGTGACATGTTTCCTCTTACCATATCATTACATCTGTCAACATCACTCTGCAGGGAGTTTTTTGCTGGCGCCACCTACAAGGAAAATAATCAAGACAGGGATAAAGTGACACTGTTTTAGCCATATCTACACAATTAGCAATATACTTTTATTTCAATTGAGATATTTTGTTCAGATCCATGTCTGTGTAGCGTGATATATATACACACCCCTCCTGTGACCTGCAACCTGGTGTCCAGAGCTCCAGCGAGGCCCTCCACAGCCCCTGGGTCCTCATACCTGACACTGGGAAGAGGATGTGTTGTGAATGCAGGCTGTCGAGTGGAGCAGGGATGATGTGTTTTTGTGGGCCAACCCGGAGGCTAGCATCGCAACGGCTCCATCTCAATAATATTTGTGGCAAACACACGTTTTGTTCAGCAGGATAATCTCTACATATAAAACCCAACTTTAATGAATTATTAAGTGTTAAAAAGTAAAAAGCTAACATTAGGCTAGTGTTCGGTGTTATGACGTTTAGTAGTCTCATTTAGCCACTTGTTGGCAACCATGTGGAGATTATCCTGCTAAACATAATCGGTGTGTATAATTAACGCTTGTTTTAGATCCTATTTTCTAGTTTCGTTGAGGGAGCCCTTGAGAAGCTTACTTCCAGTTTGGCGTACAAATAGTCCTGTCAACTCGCAACAACTCATATTGATAGATAGCCCTACGTAAGTAATAGGAAGAATGTGTATTGATTTGTTTTGTGGTGAACCGTCCTTTTTAAAGTCACCACAAGTGAAAAGGCACTTGATTCCGTAGTTTTAGTCACGGTTGCGCGCAAATAAAAATCTGTAGTGAGAGCAAGTGTCCTCTGTCGTCAGTGAGCTCCACTCACCTTTTCCTCTGGTCAGCCAGGGAGCTTCCTCTTGTATGTGCAAACATGTCAAACTCCTCCTCCTCTTCTACAACACACATGGTTAAATCATTAGGTCACAGAAAAAACAATGTTGTCCATCTTGGTAACCAAACATTTAAAATAATAAAACCAAAACATTTGTGAAATACTTATGTTTGCTTTTTTTTAATCAAAATGTCATTGTTTGATATTCATGGTAAGAGCATTATTCTATCATAATTCTGATAATGAATCAGAAATCCTTTATTGGTCCCACAGCCAGAGCGTTGATATCAGTAAGTTACAGCAAAGAACACAATACAGATTTAAAAAACAAACAAACATATATTATAAATAAAACGGGCACATTAATAAAATACAAATCAAAATAGTACATAAAACAAGTGAGTAGCAGCTTAATAAAAGTAAAGAAGCAAAGGTTTTAAAAAAAGTATTCAAGCAGCAGCCAGTAGTAAGAATATTAAATTGTAAAAAGAAAATAATATATTGCATATAATTGGTGTTGGAGAACATACTGTAGACATAGTATCCTGCAACTTTTCAGAACATCATATTCTCCAGCAGTGTATCTTTTCATGTTGTCCTTTTCATAAGTAATCCTGTTGCAATAATGCAATGTTTGCAACATCCTGTTTTCTAACAGAAATATGCCAACCCAAGAAGGATGACCTGATCCATACCACAGTATATGTATGGAATTTGGGTTACAAAAGAGGGCACATATGAATTTTACTCACTGTGGTTGGCTGATTGATGTTGATTGTCGGGAGCGCTGTCTGCTGATTGGCTGGTTGTTGTGATGACAGCAGGTTGGCTGAGAGAGGGGGGTTCAGCGCTGAGGTCCAGGAGGTTAGTGGTGGTGCTAGAGCTCTGCTACGAGAGAGGATACAACAACGTGAGCGGGACTTATTGTGTGTATTGTTATAGAGGCAAACAAAAGAGAAGGAGCGAGACATCTTCTTACCTGTGGGCTATTTGACACTTGAGCCTTGTTCAGTCTGTCAAACCTAACAATACAAATAGAAAACACTTCAAATCCAGTGAATATGAATTAAGTACAGAAGCCCTCAGAAGACATTTCTGGTGATTTTGTTTTTCTTATTTTGATTTAAATTGATTCTCTCCTTGATTTTCAGACTTGAGAATGCTGAAAGAAAAGGTTTTGCTTGAAGTAATTGAAGTTCTTTAAAACATATATATATATCCCTGAAATAGGAGGTAAAAGCTTTCCCCGGTTAAAAAAACAATAGCAAGTGAATGTTCTCCGTTTAATTGTCTTGAACATTTTCAATTTTTTTAAATATATTGTTATTCTCCTCTACCCACAAGAGCCTAAGATGTACCAGCATTCAGGGTTTACTTCAGCCGTGTTTATAAAAAAACATTGTATTTAAAAAAAAAAAAAAACTCCTGTTGATCCTGAGAAAAAGAAATCGCCAGCTAAAACGTAACGATTGGCAGATTGAAAAATGTTTAAGAAACTTAGAAAGACTATCCTGTCAAAATCTTCTCCTATTCCCAAGTGATTAACACAGGAGAGACATCTTCCAAATGGATCCTCATCGTGTTGTAATTTATCTTTAATACACCCTTAAAACGTATAAATATAATCCAAGGCTAACACAAACCTCTCGTAGCGGATGAAGGCGTTGTTGAGGTCATCGTTGATCACTAGCAGCTCTCCAATGAACCCTTCATCCAGCAGCTGGGGGATGAGCTCCACCACTCGACTCTGCATGTTCTTACACACCGAGTACAGCTGCTGCTCAGGGGGAGGGGGGAGACTCAATCATTATCATCACTAATAACATGGAGTAGAGGTTAAAGACGTTAAATCTAGTCCAAGAGTTATACAATGATCATATGTACCCACTTTTCTTCATCCTGCTTCAACTACTTTTACAAGTATCACTAGGTAACTACATTTCTCACACACACACACACACACACACACACACACACACACACACACACACACACACACACACACACACACACACACACACACACACACACACACACACACACACACACACACACACACACACACACACACACACACACACACACACACACACACACACACACACACACACACACACCACACACACACACACACACACACACACACACACACACACACACACACACACACACACACACACACACACACACACACACACACACACACACACACACACACACACACACACACACACACACACACACACACCTGTAGCAGCTCTCTGTCATCTTGCTTGCACTGCCCAGGCGAGATCTCATTCAGCATCTCTGACATCACAGTGAGGTTCCCCTTCACCAGCGCCAGCTCACTTCGTAGCTTCTGTTCCTGGATTACAATATATGCAAATAAAAACATCAGTCAAAAGCCACAACACTATTACATTTATTCTATTGTAATTGTGTTTCTGCTTAAATATGATGAAGGCTGTATTACTCATAGAACTTCTATAATGCATTGATATGCTAGTTATATTTTCACATGACAAAAGCACAGGTTAAGTTAACATCATTAACAATGGCTCTGCTCTACGGAGTCACAGTAGTGCCATACATCAAAAGATATATATATATAAAGATTAACACATCAGTAAGAAGATGTAGAATAATATAAAGGCGGAAATATAAAGATATATACAGATATAAAATAATAATTATAAGCATTTTCATTCATTTATTGTTTTTTTATTTCTGCATATGTATTTGTTTTGTATACATTTCAAAAATATATATTTAATAATTTCTTTTTTTGCATTTATATTTTTTCTTCCTCAGTATATTTTCCATTTATTCGTTATTTGTAATCTTTTTCAGGTTGCTTTCTTTCCTCCACATTCTGACCAAGTGTTAAAAGTACTTGCGGGACACATATCGTGATGTTTCTTCCCCCGATACAAGTCAAAGTATGCTGAATATAAGCACAACATATCATACCTACAAAGACATATCAGTGATTACAAAAACTACTAAATGACCTTTTTTCTTTTATGCATACAGAAAAGATGTAATAAGAGGGGAATTGACAATAGTGCCTCCAAATGAATCATTAACTTCTTTATCATAAAGCGGGGATAACTGCACTGTACAAAGGGAACCAAGGTTTCTAAATAGAATTGCCCCTTGGACCTTTTCAGGATTTTCGCAACACTAAATCACATTGCATCTTCCAAGGATTTTAGACACTGAAAATAAAACGATTCTTCAATGTCAAAGTGAAAACAAATGAATCTGGATCAGATATCCCTTAATTGAATGAGTCTGTCATCACTCAGTCAGTCATTGTGTTATTGACCTGTTCCATGCAAACATTGACTGACAGGGTGTTTTTTAAATGTAGTTGTACCTGTTGTGCAGAGAGGGAGCCCGGCCCCTCACCCCTCTGGTCCGGAGGGGAAGTACTCTGAGGGGGGACACTGGAAGCTGGTTGTGGTTCTGACTGAGGTGTGGGAGCGGCAGCGGGGGCTGTTTCAGGAGTCTCATTTTCTGGGGTACTCTGAAGATAAAGAACCAGTGTAAAGACAGATATCTGTAGATGCATTGTGGGTGTTATTTTCACTTTGCCGACCGTCTCACCCTATTGGGAGTGTGTATGGGGGACAGAGCATCCAGATCTGTCATGGGGAACTCCAGACCGCGTCTCCTCAGGTCGTCATATACGTACACCACCCCCGCCAGGGAGGGAGAGCTTCGAAACGCATCTGCCCACGACTGAAGAGGGGAGGAAAAACATGAAGAAAGCATGAGAATGTCTGACTGTTGAATCTCTGTTCAAAAACACTGGCCAAAACAAAGATTATATGGGAAAAGAAGAATAAAACAACAGAAATGGAATGCTCCTTCAGTATTAACAAGCCCGACTGTATCTAATGTTATCATTCCTGCCGGTCTGTGATTACACAACACAACTGGCCTTGGCGAAGTAAAATAGGAAAGTGTGAAGGTAGTTAAATCACAAAAAACAATAAAAAGATAACACTATAAGTCTGTAGCCATAATATAGTCAGCGTGTGGGGTTTCAACACATACCACTGAAATATCTCACAGCACAAGTGAGGACAAACAACTTAAAAACGCAAAAGAAAAAAGATTTCCAACTAAATAAAATTATATTGCAGACAAAAGCTAAAATGGTTTGCTGATTTACTAATGTTCGATGATATTAATAGATTTGAGTTCAGAACAACTGGTCAGACAAAACAGTTATTTGAAGAAAGTGTATTCGGGCCATTGAAGGTAAAAAATACTACCTGACAAATGACAAAGCTGGGGGAAGTAGGTATTATTATTTCTATAAGAACACATAGAGATTTAAGTTCTAATTTAGAAGAAGAAACCCACACATTTACAAACCCTCACCCCCCTTTTTTCAAAGGAACACATTGCTTTACTTGTTTTGAATCTGATCACACCAAAGACGCCAGCGGTAAACAGGGAATTCCCCATGCAACCGTTAATGAGGAGGTGAAACAGTACTGAACATGACATTGCAATAATACATTTTTCCTTTAAAAATGTAAGACTTTTTAATCTCAGAATATTGAAGTTGTTCTCACTATAACATAGTAGGTTTTTCCCCTTCCATTTACCCCTACAATTTCAGAGAATATAAAAAATGGTTTTGTCTTTTTTTCGTTATATTGCCATTTTATAGACACAACAAATAGATGTCAATATATAATCAATATGGGAAATAATCATCAGTTACAGCTCTTGTGCAGACAGTTTATATCATCTTTCCCTCTATAGAAGCATCTGCATACATACCTGTATGAGGCTCAGCACACGGTCATGCAGGGCAGTGGGGGGGTTATATTTGGGCAGAATGGATCGCACCAAAACTCCTTCAATAAACTCCTGTGACGACACAAGAATGTGGAAGCGCTGGCCGCAGTTCTTCACACAGGCCTCGAGAACCTGCAGTGATACAGTTCACAGTATGAAAGAAAAGTCAAGTCCAAAATGAAGCGTTTTCTCACATTGCCTCAATGTGTACACTAAGACTTCAATATTGATTTAGCAACTTCTTTAAGCAGACACACTTCCTTCACACATTCTTTTTGTTTAAAATGATACTCTCGTAACCTATAATCCTCATGAACAAATGATTGCACATTGACATGGAATCCCCTACAGATACTCACAGTAAGGGCCAACATGATCTCTCTGAAGTTCTTGTTTCCTACGATTCTCTTCTTGATAGCTTTGACTGCATCTTTGGGCCTGAGAAAAAACAACATCAGATATTTATAGATAAGAAAATAAATAAATAAGTCGAAGAAAGTTGCTATTGCAGAAGAAAACTGTATATTAAGTTGTTTGTGACTCATCTCTATAATAAGAGAGAGCTGGAAATAAAGTCACTTTAATCGTCCAAAAACAGAATAAAAAATGTGGCTTTTTTACTATATATGTCAGCAACAAAACCATAGGAAGTGAAACAGTGATATTCAAAACTAGGAGACCTACATCCAGTAGAGAAAGGTTGGGCAGTATGCACCACATAATGAAACCATGTGACTTGTGTGAGCACCCTACCCCTCGTCCGTCTCGTTGATGATGTCACAGATCTCCATGTTGATCCCCCAGTCCTCCGACTGCAGACAGACGCTGGTCGCTCGCTCTGTCAACACACAGGGAACAGGTGAAGGGGCATTAGTAGAGTCATATTGTTAAAGGATTAGAAAAATATCATAATAATCAGAAGACTTTCCTCTGATATTAAGATGTTTGCCAGAAAATAAGAAGTCACTCATTACAATCGGTTCTGTATGTATTTCAGATATCAGTCTGGGGGAAATGTTTCAATTGGTGTAAAAAGTTGTTGCTTTATTAGCATGGAAGAAAAACAACATCAAAAAATAAAAATGTCATACAATATTTAAGATATGTTGCCTTTAATTGTTCCATTCATACAGGAAAGATCACCATATGATCATCTCTATGTCTACCTCTTAAAGTAAGGAGTCTAAAGAGGAGCTCTGAAAGCATTAGTGAGATTGGCCAGACCAGAGTCTGGTGATAATTCTCTTTGTGTCATCACAACAAGAGAAACCTTTCATATTACACATAGTTGTTGGATCCATTATTTATAGGCTACAAAGCAGGCTGTTGTAAGGAAATCATCATGTCCTCTGACGTTATAGAGCTCCCTCCAGAGCCACATAAGACATTACACAACAGTTTTCTGAGGAAGGCTGAGTAACACTGTGTGCAAACCACAATCTTCAAGTGTAAAATTGCAATTTAATCAAATCAGCTTTTGGGAACTGTGTTGACATTTTCTTTTTACCGACAGTATGATCAAACAAGCCACAATTCATCATATAACAATTCTGAGTAATTGGTGAAAATATTTGTCATCAGCTATCCAACAGGCACTTTAAACCATTATGAGCATAGGCAAACAAACACAACATATCTCATGAGAAGACAGCCAAGGTTATTGTGTTTTTTTTTTTAATTGTAACTAAATTGATCAGCTAAGTTTTTTAGCTTTCATATTATTTCAGTCCATACTATTTGGCAATCAAAGCCTGCTTTCTTTGCACTCCTCCACCCCTCACTGGCTCCTCATAAGTCTTTAAATCTCCTTCATTCCTTTCCACCAACACCCCCTACATTTAAACCCTCACTGCCTTTCTCAATCCCATTCTACTCCCTCCCTCCCTCCTCTCTCCTTCCTCGCTCCCTCCACTTCATGTGACTGTCAGCTGCTTCTGTTCTCATCCGCCTCAGAAGTAGCTGGAGCCTCTCTGACATTCATGTTTGGGGAAAGTGAGTGGATGAGATAAGAGGAAGAGAGGCTTGAGATGGGTGTGTAACCTTTTCTCACCACTCATAACTGTCCTGATTACTCATCTCTGCAGGCTGTCTGTGGATGTGTTGGCTTTACATTTTCAAGCAAAACAAGCAACATGTTGCATTAAAAGATGTGTAACATGACATAATACGCTTGCTGAGAGTATACGTGAAACTTGTACACAAGGTGTGAAACTGTATTTTTATAGAACACATCAGGGATTGAGGAAGTGAGAGAAAACACATTTGGCGTCATTGATTCGCTAAATGTGTTGTCACTTAACTTCAGCAACAAATCATATGAAAGATCGAGGCAAGTAAGTCCCGCCTCTGACGCGTCATTGGCTTTAAAGACATCGTTTGATGTTTCTGTCAAATTTGGACTTCATTTTGAACATTTTATAAAAGTAAACAAGCATCAAAAGTGTTATAACGTTGTTTTCCATGCCTATGAGCGTGTCAAATCTTGAAGCATGTAACTGGTTGTATAAATTAAATAATCCAAAATTGAATGCAAAGGTGAACAACTCCTAGCATAAAGTTCAAAAGCAGCAGCTACTTACCGATTCTCTGACCAACAGGCGTCGAAAAGGGGTTTCCTATGAGAAACTCAATTTTCTCCCCGAGTGAAAACATCTTTGGAACAATGAGCAGCGACCACTCCAACTGTGTGAAAGTTATTCGGCAGCTACTGAGCTCAAACTGCTGTGTTTCCTTTGCTTCCAGAGTCCGCTGCTGCTTCAGAGGCGTACGGGCTCTCTGAGTGGTCACGTGAAACACACACACACACACACACACACACACACACACACACACACACACACACACACACACACACACACACACACACACACACACACACACACACACACACACACACACACACACACACACACACAGTCAGGATTCAGGAAGCAGCAGACAACACAGAACACAGCCGCTGATTTCATCACATTGTTAACAATGGACGTAACTTGATTATATTAAACATAAAGACGCTTTATTTGCAGTTGCAAGTCTTACTACAATATAAAAATAAAATAAAACACAGCAGCCTGTGAGATAGCTGTTTGATCTCAGTGCAAATAAGCCTTTTCAACCAGTCAGTATTGGTAGAACTGTCCAAGTAGTATACACAAGTATTAAAAAGAATACATTATAGAATAACTAAAATAATCAACATACTGTTAATGCAGACACATTACATCTTTACTATTGGGAGTGGTGGAATACTTTTGAGATATTTTACATTATTTATAGTAGTAAAATATACTAAATACTAAAGTCGTGCATACAAAATGTACTGTGAGCCTACCTTTCCAAAACCAACATCTGAGACCACAAGTCAACTAGAAACTTGTATGTCAGCAGCACCACCTAGTGTACAGTGAAAGACCTGAATGAACATTTGATTCTGATTTTTTTTGACAGTAGTTTTTTTTATTGTCTAGTTTTTTTTTATCTTGCATCATATATTGAACAGGTGCTTACAGAAAAAAAGTTATTGTATGTCACAAACTACTGACTTATGGTTTGTGACTCCTATTGACTGAGCACAGTTCGTTTCTCTAATGTACTCCACACATACTGGCCTATACAATGTTTAGGTTCATCTGGTCTGGTGTATCTACAAGGACATGCCAAGAAGAAACAGTTTCTAATCATTACTTGTGGTAGAAAACAGAGCTGTTTTTCTGCAACAATATTCTGCAAGTGATTGTTCAAGGAAACAGGACTCACATCAACATTTATTATAATTTTTTTGGGGAAATGTTATGCCTTTAGTTATAGGAAGACAATAGAGAGATGACAGGAAAGAGAGGACAGAAGGATGGAGATTGACATGAAACAAGACATGTGTGTGTTTTAAAGTTATACAAGTAAAAGTGCTTACTTTTTTTTTTTTAAATGGACACTGCATGTAGATGGTTTATCTAATCATGTATGGTATTATATGATGACTTTAAATTGTTGTAAGTCATGCAATAATGTGTGTGCAGCATTTTAAACACACTACAACAGTATACTGATACCCAGATTAATGTGGGAGTTTTTGGTAATAATAGAACATGCTTTAGCCTATTTTTAAAGTATGCCTACTTTAATTGTTAACAATACTAGAATATATCTTAGTAACTCTCCACACTGAACCTTTTTTTTTTCTCCAGTGTGGGTATGTCACTGATAGCACAACACTGAATTTGATATATTTTAAATTATTTGTGCAGAAAACCAAGAAAATAGCATGTTTTTGCGCCATAAGGGAAACATGGGAAAATTGATACATTTGTTTAAAAATGTGTAAAACTTCAATTGTTAAACCAGAAATTAAAAGCCTTATATACTAGAATTCCTGATTTTTTTCTGTCATGGCTATTGGATAAAAAATAAAATAGCATCACTTTCTGCAAACCTGAATTTTAGCAAGTTATTATTAGGAAAATGTGAGAAACAAAAACAATAAAAAAATCACACCCTTGCTAAATACATTCTATGCGTTTACACAGTGCTAAAACATTAAAAGCCAAATATTTCCCTAAAGAGGCTTAAGGGTTAAGATAAGGGCCTTCTGCAGGCATTGCATGTCCGTTCTGTAGTTATGCTTTATCACCACTAGGTAGCAGCATTGAATCTACATGGACCATATGTGATAACAACTGTCTAGTGGTGTGGGTTAATCTTATTCTACACAAGTAAACATGTACTCATACAACATGGACAATCAGGTGTAATACTGATTTTTTTCATCAGGTTTATATACAGTCTCTCTCTTTCAATGGGAGATTCCACTGATATTATCCTGACAGAATGGTCATAGTTAGATTAAAAGCATCTTTGTTTAAGATGAATCCATGACTTGTGCCTCTGATGAGGAAAATACCTGAGCTAAACATAAAGAATAGTCATAAACATATGATATCATGGCTTCTAAGGCATTCAATTAAATATCCAGCCTAGGATAAGGTCTCCTTGCGCATATAATCTAATACGTTTTTATGCTTAGGCCCTTAGTTTTTGTATCGGTCCCACAACCAGTATCCTTTTTTTATTATAGGAACTGATTGATAATATCTGTGAGAACAATCATACTGTACTCATTTCAAGTGTGAGCAGACACCTCAGTTCACAAACAGCTCTTTGTATTTAAAGCATTTTTTAAATGTAATTCTTCCTGCTTTAAATACCTATTTCTAGAAAAAGTGTGATCCAGTAACTTGACACATTCTGTGTTAATAAAATCAGTGAGGGTGTGAAGACAAAAGTCTGTGACCTTTCACCTTTTAATTATTTTATTCCCTGCTCCACAGATACCTCGGGCCTTCCTGTTATGTCTTCAGGACCCTAGTAGTCAAATGAAAAGTGAAACTTAGTGATACTTATTCTGTTTTTATTCTCAAGTATCACATGTATGCATTGCTAAATCTTTTCGAAAACAAATCTCATCATTAGGTTACACCGTCTTCTCTTTTTGAGACACACAGCTTTTCGCAGAGCATTGTGGGTAGAGTTGATCCCAATGTCAGATAAGAAAGCCCAGAGGGATGCTGGGTCAGAAAACCGATGTGTTATCTCTTTTCTCCAGACCTGGCATTATGTCACAACTTAAAACCCTCACACCATTGTTCACACAATAAGAGGTCTGTATCAGGTCAAAGGCGTTCATGTTTCCTAACAATACAATAGCCAGCAGCACATGAAACAGCTGTAAATCAAGTAAATGACAATTTAACTTTATAAACATATTCAATCATTTTAAGATTCATCATTTATTATTTAAAGGAAGCTTCTCTTTTTCAAGATGTTTCCAGTAGACTCCTGTGGTCTGGATCTGGATCTGGATTAATACTGAGCAAAACCCAGAGGTATCACTCTCAGTGGGGGATGAATATTCCCTGCCAAATGTCTATTAAAATGTGCCGGAAGCACTCCACGGACACTGCGATGACAGCTTCTTCTGGTAGCATGTTCCACTCTCTGATTGTTCTGGGAAAGAATGAGTATTTCAGAGTGTCACTAGAAGCGGATATTCTAACACCTGAGGGAACTTGCAACAAAAAACATGCTTATATATGTAAGAAAACGTGTATTATTAATAAGTCCAATTACCGTGTTCAATCAGTATGTTTTGATATATTTAAAGAAATAATTATTTAAAGGAACACTTCAAATGTTTTACTTTTTTCCAGTAGGCTCCTGTGCTTGAGTAGACTATTATGCCTGAGGAAAACTTCTAGAACATTCTTTTATCTAAAACTGCCAAGCAATAAATGGCACAAGCATCGATAATAAGGCTAAAAAATAGCATATGTATGAATGTATGATCTTGTCAAAGGTATTCATGTTTCCTAACAATAGCCAGCATCAAATTAAACAGTAGCAGGACATTATGGAAACGAAACGTTTCCTTATTAGTTTGTCCAATCATGTTTAAAAAATGATATTTTGGTGATTATTTATTGCAAACTTTTTTTTTTTCTATGTTTCCTGCAGGCTCCTGAGAATGAGGAGACTATTGTATTGTAAGGGAAACCACACACGTAACACTTTAATCCAAAACTGCCAAACAATAAATGCCATTACCATCGACAATTTCAGGAGCCTAGGAAATTGCATGCATGTATGTATGCACTATCAAAGGTGTTAATGTTCCCTTACATAACAAAAGCTAGAAGCTCATGAAATAGCTGTAGCAGGAAATCAAGGAAAGGAAACGTTTCCTTATTAGTTTGTTCAGTCAAGTTTGGATAAAAAGTAATTTAAAAATGATTATTTAAAGGAAACATCTCCTTTTTTTCTAGATGTTTCCAGTAGTGGTTGGGACTATTATACCCGAGGGGAAATTGTAAAAACGTTTTAATCTAAAACTGCCACACAATAAATGACATAACCATCCATAATTTCACGAGCCTAGGAAATTGCATGCATGTATGTATGTGTGTGTGAATGTGTGTGTGGTTGCACTGGTTGTAAATTGATCCCTCCTACTCTCGCTGCTCCGTTGTGCAGAGGAGGGGCGAGGAGGAGGAGGGAGCCAAAGCAGGAAGGAAGGCAGGCAGAGAGGGAAGGGAGGCAGGCTGTGAATGCTAACAAGCCCCGTCGTAATCATACAGTTCCGTAGGTAGGGTTTGATCAAAAACGTCTTGCAATGGAGAGGAACGACGACCACTATTAAACACCTACTATGCACCAGTGCCGCCTTCGTCCTGTGCGCGTGCAGCAGTCTCACCGTCGTCGGCACGTTTGATCTGAATAACCGTCTTTTTCCGCTGAGTGAAATGTATCGCGACTGCTTGGGACTCACATTCTGACAATGGAGATTGAAAATATCGTGGCCAACACTGTTCTCCTGAAGGCGAGGGAAGGTAAGCACAGCTGAATGGCAAACAAAATAATGAAAATGTACCCCCCCACATACACACCACCACCTCAAAGATAGGACCATGAACGCATCCCGAGCTTTTCGGCTGTCCTACTCGGGGTTTTATGCTTTCTCTGTTTCTGCGCAGCGCTTTGTCTCCGGCAACCATATTCCGTTGAAATCAGCTGTTTGTACGCTGACAACACACACAGTTCCCGGGCAGGTTAACAGAAGGCCCAGCAGCGAGCAGGCTCGGGATGAACAACGCAGGGAGTGTTTGCAGCATCGCGCTTACACGGCGGCGGTGCACTAGACTGTCGAGCATTTTTTTTCACACAAGCACAACCGCTGGTTTTGTGGGTTTTTACCATTTACGATGACATAGCGGGCATTTAATGGTATTTACGTATGGTATTGAGTGTGGACCGATAGCTGCGCAGTGGGGCTCTTTGCCTCCAGGACAGCCTCTTCTTACCTGTCATTGTAGGTTTAAAGCCCAATTAGGGATGTTACAATTATGGTTTTATTTGACGCAGAAATATTTAAATGCATTGTCGTTTGGTTGTTGATAGGAACTACGGGGAGGAATATATAACGTCAAAAAGGAGGTTTTAGTTGTTAGAGAATGAAAGAAGGCCCACCACGTACCCTGGCGGCCCAGGCGCTTTAGCCCCGGGTGTTGACGCTGCTCAGTGGGCCGGTGATCCCACAGCAGCCGCTCACCCGGAGGTGGGAAAGAGGCGAGTATCCATCTGTTTTCCGTGAGATGGCAGAGTAGAGAGGCTGCGTGTGGGCGCAGGGTGGGTGTACGACACTCTATCAGCTGCCAGAGGAGGGTAAAACATGTGTTATTACTGCTCAAAGGTTTCCACTACTGGACACCAGCATAAGGCTATGGCGTCCTATATGATATGTCCAAGTTTATGCGTTTCATTCGACAGCAAAATCGCCCATACACGGCTCTGGATATGCAGAGAGGCCTCCCCTGCTTCTGGTTTGCATTATATTCGGACTGCGTTTCAGTTCAGGACTAAACGCCAACACTGCTGTGAAATGGATTGTTCACAGCAGCAGTGAATCCATTTCATAGCAGCAGCTGCTCCTGATGAGGCATCAGGCTTTCCTTTACCTGCCGTTAAATGGTGCTTGGCATTGTCGTGAGGTTTACCCCGGGAGGGTATTGTAGACTGATCGGATCTACAGGCTCAGTATGTCAGTGTCCTCAGCCAGGGGCCCCGAAAGGCCCTCAGGGATCAGTGTTATAGAAGCGAGTAGAAGGAGCCTGGCACTTCTCCATTTGTGGACAGAGTTCACCATCATTTATTTAGCTTCAATAGTATGGTCGGTGTAGAAACATTTTGTGGTTAATCTGAGGTAATTTGACAGGATATTTGTTGTGGTTTTCTGTAATCTCAAATTAAAAGGCCAACCAGCTACTTGTTCTTAAAACTATGAAAACTTTAGGATGGCCCACTCTTAGTAGATTAATTGTCCATTTTGTTTGATGACTAAGATCTCTAGGTAATTTTTGTTCATGTTTTTTCAATGGAAGCCTTATTTCTAAGAAATGTAAGCACATCTATGGTAAACACAAGGTACAAAGTCGTTCTTTGTGTAGAAACCCAGTTTAACAGGTGTTTCACATTTTTATCCAATGCAGACACACACTACAATACCGTAGACATGCATCTAATACATTAGTCGAAAAAATCACGAGTGTTAGTTTACTAAGTATTTCTTTAGTCGAAGGTTACCCTTGCAAACGGTCTGTACTTGCAGTTTTAATAATGATGTTGGATGTTGTTTGTATAGCATGGACACTCCTCCGCCACATCAAACATGTTGATTATACAGCCAGTGTTGTTTTTTATATTTCTCTCTGCTATACCATTCAGTGTGTTAATTAGCACTGAGATTAAAACAGCTAATGTCTCCCAATGTAACCCTTTAAGGTGCACGGGAGACTAATTTGATTTTAATTATGCTTTCCAGAGGTGGTTGTTTGCAGCTGTCAAAGTGTTTCAGTGTGTGACAGGTGTCAACACTGGCACTGTCACAAGTTGTATAGCCTATTACCCGCCTTTTGAACACACCAATCCAGACTGAAAGCGGCTCCTGTGGATTCAGAGGTCAGCTCCTTCTTTAATTCTCTCCTCGTTCATCTATATGCCACACAGCATCAAGGCCTAGCAACTAGCAGAGAGTTGCAGGCGGGCCGTCTACCAGCTGCAGGGTCCAAGCTGTTGTTGAGTCAGCAACAGTTTGCCCTGCTGATGTGTCCTTGAGGAAGACGTTAAATCAGTTGTTCTGTAACTCTGTGACCTCATTGTGGAGCCGGGAAGTGACAAACAGTTTCTCAGCGTACTAAGTATGCATAAACAATCATTTGTTTGCAGATATGCAGCTTTTTCCAGAATAAACTCCTGATTAGTGACGTCCTATTTGTCTTTTTGTGCCTGGAAAACCTTCGCTCACAAGATTCTCATAAGTCAACTTTTACACACCTGTTGATGTGAAACTGGGTGGCCAGAGTAAGAAGTGTTACGACAGGGTGTGTCCAGTCTGCCACTGCTGAAATGACACGTCAAGGGAAGTGGTTTTGGTGTTGTAGAGATGACACCGCTCCCATCACTCCCCACCCCTGCCTCTGGGAAACTTATGCATTTGCCTCAGGAAATCCCAACACATTTTCAAGATCTTTCTTTTGCCTTAGGGCCTCTCAGACTACAGGAGGTGACAGTACATGAAGTCAGAGGAAAACATTGCTTTAGCTCCTCAGAGAATTTGTAAGAAAGCTTTGGCAAATGGTGTTGCTGGAAATACCAAGATGAACACTTTTGGCATAGATTCAGCCCAAAATGTAAGTGAATGTAAAACCTCAGCCAAGTTATTAGAGACTCATTGCAACAGTAGGATTCCACATACCTACTGTTTACCATCAGAAGTACAAGTGTGTTGACAGTCTGAACCCTTTTTGTTAAGGACCCAAATTCAATATTTACCTAACATTTGTTAAATCCGGATGATATAGGGTCTGTTTTGGCGGCTAACACTGTTTCAACACAAACTGTATTGGTGCATATATTGGCTTATTTTATTACACTAAACGTATCCTACATATTGCAGTTTAAAGCACTTGAGATCATTTAGAAACAGCGTTCTCGTAGTTTCTCCCGCAGACTCCACTGTTTACAATACTTTGCAGCAAGCACCTGAGTACCCTATCATAGCGGAGCAGATGGCGGTGTGAAGTCAGCTGATGAAATTCTGTTTACTCTTCAGCTGCAAAATATCCTGCCTCATTACATTTATTTGTCAGAGCTCTTTAACAACCACACCGGAGGTTCCTTTTCATACATTTCACATAAAACACTGTTTTTAAACAAATGTTGATGTTAACTGATAGGTTTTTTGCCGCAGAACATACAGTTCATTTTAATAAGGAAACAATAGTGTGTGTGTTGCTCCGCTCACCGGTCCGTCACAGCGGGTGGAGCTGCAGGATTTCTGCTTCACACACGTTGCATACCGCTATTTTACTGTCTTTTTCGGTCTCGACTGGTGAAGCCATTTTGGCGAGCTTATTTTGCCTCGCACAGAGAAAAGTGTCATGTATTTTACGTCATGTGATCGGCTCTCACAGTGTTTCCCACAGAATTTGATTCTATTTGTGGGGGAAAAGCCAAAGGCCCCTTAACCTATTCGGGTGGTCCACGCATCCACCCCCCCCTCAAATAAGATAATACATGCGAGTTCATGGCTACTGTAGACAACGTTCTTGTTGCTCTGTGTTGCGTTGTTAATGAGTGAGACACACCGGAGTTGAGGATCTGTGGGGTTTATTCTCCCAAAAATATAATTTACAATTTAGGCATTTAGCAGACGCCTTATTCCAAAGCGACTTACAATGACCAATTACAGGGACATTCTCCCTGGAGTAACCAAGGGCTAAGTGCCTTACTCAAGGGCACACTAGTAGTTGTGTTCCAGGCAGGATTTGAACTCGCAACCTTCCGATCATCAGCCCACCTCACTATCCATTAGACCACCAAAAAAAAAAAGAAAGAAAAAAGAATAATAATATAGATTTTTTTTTTTGTGAGATCCATTTGTGGCGGACGATATTTAATTGTGGCGGCCCGCCACAAATAAATCAATGTATGGGAAACACTGGCTCTCACGATCGGCCTTTAAAGAGAGCACCGATCGATCGGCAGAGAGTGAATATCGGCCGATATCGATCGGCGGCCGATCGACCGGAGCATCCCTAGTAATTTGTAACCTCTTTTCACCCTCTGTCTAAAACCAGAGCCCAGTCTACTCTGATTAGTTAGCTGGCCATCTCTGTTGTGATGGGTCAATCGCTTAGAGTTGTCCCGCCCCTTAGCCTATCACTTACAGTGTGTTGGAGCGCTAACCCAAGCGCGAGTGTTACATAGTGAGGTCACTATGTAACAGAAGTAAACAAAGGAGTCCAATGGAGGTGTTTCAGGCAGGGGGGAGTGTGTGGGAGAGAAACTCCCTCTTGAGGGAACTTTGGGAATTTAGCCTTTGCACACCATTTACATGAACAAAACCCCCTAAAGGCAGAAGAGGCCCCTTTAAGACATATCGATCACTATGCATCAGGTCAGTTGCTGAGCCCTAAATATTGATAAATGTGAAGTTGTTTGTTGAAGGGCTTTCACTTCAGTATACTGCATTTCCCAGAGTGTCGATGTTGACTTGTTGCATTCAGCTGTGAATTATAAATATTGTTGGTGTAGAGAGAATTGGATGTTGCATGGTTAGTTGTAACACTTATTCAAACAACATGTGTTAGATGTCAGCATATTTGTCTATAGACGTCTGTAATTCAAGCACCTGATTTTTTGCAGTTTGTAAAATGGCAAACTTTATTGTAGATATTCTATCTTACTTGTCTGTCAACTAAAAAATTATCAAAAAATATATTTAGTTCAAATAAAGCTGCACTGGGGCATGTCTTAAAGTGAATGTATGTTT